AGCAGATGATGATGATCTTCAACTTTTGGTGACTCGCGATTACATCTGATTCGAGAGTCTCTGTTAACGACACTGTCTATGGTAATTATTGAACGGCACGCTGTGGCCAACTGATATTATCCCCTCGCACCAATTCTCCGCCGCTAAGAGGGCGCTTTCAGGGGTAAAATGGATGCGAGAGCCTTGGAAATCGAAGCGGATTGCCCTCACTCCAAGTTAGTGACATGCCCGCGATTTCTTCGCCCGGCCTGGTCGACTGGTGAGAGAGAGTTTCGACTTTCACTGTAGTGAAAGTAATATTGAAGCGCCTTGCGCGATCTGGAGACGGGGAAGCGACCGGCAGAGAACCTACACGTAGCAGGGCTTTCGGCTGTGCGGCCTGCGACCTGGTGGAAGGAGGTCATGGATCGTGAGACTCTCAGTATCCACCCCTACTCTCAACCTCCCTTCCTCGCGAACCTTGCCAGAGCAGGCCCCAGCTCCTCTTTCTGCTTTCCTTCTTTGGCATGTTTCGCTTGCTCACGCTGGCGTTCTCGCAGCTCCATGACCCGCATCTTGTGCTCATCGATCACGTTCTTGTTGCCCTTCTTCCGCATGTATTTCCGCAGACTACTGTTCTTGCCACGGCCACGATTCTTCAGATCCTCGATCCTCTCCTTCTCGGCCTCGGCACCCGTCTTACGATCCAGATCCTTCTCAAGCTTTCGTTGCTCGTGAGATGCAGAGTCGAGATTACCCACGAAATCTGGGTTTAGGCCGATCATCTCCGGCTGCAATTTGTTGAGGAGAGCCTTAACCTCGGCCTCCTGTCTCTGCTTGGTGTTCTCATATGGATTCTGTTCGAGGGCATCGAAGTTGGCTTCTCCCGCGCCGGGTACGAGAATGGAAGAAAAGCCTTGGTTGTGCCCGATTCCAAGAATGTCTTCAAATGGGCACCAGCGAACTCTTTCTACGGTCTGCCCTTGCGCTCCCCACGCCATGTACGGCGATTGTACCTTTACCTGGTCCACGTCAGATCGGTGCTTAGTGAACAGGTCTTTCCAAATCGTGGTCTGAGTTCCCCAGCCGACCGCGGTCAGATTGCGGTCGCTGATCGCCACGCTCGAACCGGGTTGTCGCAGGAAGTATTCATGGACGGGCTTGAAATTTCGGACGTCCCAGACAGCCATTTTCATGTCTTGCCCGGTGCTGGTCATGTATCGGCCTTCGCGATCGATAGCAAGGGAGCGTACCGGGCCCCGATGGCAAAGCATCTTGACTAGAGGTGTTGTACTGTTTGGCGACCACAACGAGACCGTACCATTTTGATGGCCAACGTGCAAGACCGCGTTGTAGGGGTTTTGCCCAAAAGCTGTCGGAGTCCCCTGCTTGGTGCCCATCTGCATGACAAGCTTGCCGGTGCTGGTGTCCTGCCACTTCAGCCATCCAGCATTCCCAATCGTCGCGAGAAGGAAATGATATGGCAGAAACTCCATATGGGTTACCTCTAGGTGCTGGTCGAGATTATGGATCTCCACGCCATGATGGTCGTAGATGTATACGTTCTTCTTTTGAGCTACAGCGAAGTACTGGTTGTTGTGCAACCACTTCGCGTCTCGCACTGTCTCACCCAGCTGTAGTTCACACCCCAATTTGCCGCTTCTCCAGTCCATCGTGGCGACATGGCCTTTGCGACCAGCCAGCAATAGATCACGACCATTCCTTGTGTAGTCGTGTACATATGGGCCCATCTCGTTCAACTTGAGCTCAAAGCCCTTCTTAGCGGTCTCCGTATCGACATCGTCCTTGATCTCGTCCTGTCGTACTCTGTATGTGCGTTCGAGTTCGCCTTCGGGTTCGAGGAATCCCGACTGATTTTCCAGCAGGATCTCCGCATCTTTCGCCTTCAGCGCAGCATCTTTGTACTTTTGCTCTAGAGCCTGCAAATTGCCTCGCAGTTTCTTGTCCTTGATGCTTCTAGTCCGCACACCCTGTCCTCTGCCATACTGTCGATCTGCCTCCTGCTGCCTCTTCTTCTTGAGTGCTTCCTCCGGGCTGAGTTTCGCTGTCGGCGGGCCGCTCTTCTTGCGCTGCACTTTGACCTGCCCGTTCGCACCGACAAGGTCAGTAGTCTCCATTTCCGCCATGGCTGCAGCCCCAGCTCACGATCGCGTGGTGTGCATGTTGGTTAGCACGTGAAGGCTGGAACTTTTTTCGAAGCTTCAGATCCAGCCGCGGCATGGTTCCGAAGCTTGGCAGGGTACGGCGCGGCGCGTGGTCCTCCTTTTGGTGGCGTGACGCAGGCGAAAGCTAAACGTTAGCTCGTTTCGTTTTCGTGGAGTGATTCATAAATGCGCAGCACCAGCCTTCACCAACGGCCGCTTCTCTTCGTCGTCCAAACAACGACTGCCCTCACCGAGTCCATCGTTCCTCCTCGAACTTCATCACCAATTCCGGCCGCGGTGCTCCTCACCCAATCCTTCTGATCGAAATACCAGCAACCATGATTGCAAAGACCGCCCTCCAGCGAGCTGTGGCAGCTCCAACGCGTAACGTCCTCGCCCAGCAATCCGTACGCGCTGCCTCGGCTTGGTCGCAAATCCCTCAGGGGCCTCCAGATGCCATTCTGGGCATCACCGAAGCGTTCAAGAAGGACAGCAACTCGAAGAAGATCAATTTGGGCGTGGGCGCCTACCGAGACGACAAGGGCAAGCCGTATGTGTTGCCGTCCGTCAAGGAGGCCGAGCAAAAGGTCGTTCAAGCGAATCTCGACAAGGAGTACGCCGGCATCACTGGTGTTCCTGATTTCACCAAGGCCGCTGCTCTGCTCGCATACGGACCAGACAGCGCAGCATTGAAGGAGGGTCGGATCGCCATCACCCAGAGCATCTCTGGCACTGGCGCTCTGCGCATTGGCGGTGCTTTCCTGCAGCGCTTCTACCCAGGCGCCAAGGCCATCTACATCCCGACGCCATCATGGGCCAACCACAAGGCTGTCTTCTTGGACAGCGGACTCGAGGTCAAGCAATACAGATACTACAACAAGGACACCATTGGACTCGATTTCGATGGCATGGTCGCGGACATCAAGGCCATGCCAAAGGGCTCCATTGTGCTGCTGCACGCCTGCGCACACAACCCCACGGGCGTTGACCCGACCCAAGAGCAGTGGAAGGCGATCAGCGATGCCGTCAAGGAAGGCGATCACTTCCCGTTCTTCGATATGGCTTACCAAGGCTTCGCATCTGGCGACACTGACAAGGACGCCTTCGCTCTGCGCTACTTCCTTCAGCAGGGCCACCAGCCATGCCTTGCCCAATCTTTTGCCAAGAACATGGGTCTGTACGGTGAGCGGGTTGGCGCCTTCTCCATCGTCACCTCGTCTCCTGAGGAGAAGGCTCGCGTGGACTCGCAGGTCAAGATCCTCGTTCGACCACTCTACTCCAACCCACCCGTCCACGGCGCGCGCGTGGCGAGCACCATCCTCAATGACCCGGCTCTGAACCAGCAATGGCTTGGAGAAGTCAAGGGTATGGCGGACCGGATCATCAAGATGCGTGCTCTGCTCAAGGAGAACCTGCAGAAGCTTGGCAGCAAGCATAACTGGGATCACATCACCTCGCAGATCGGCATGTTCGCCTACACTGGACTGACTGCCGAGCAAATGACGAAGCTCGCGGAAGAGCACTCTGTGTACGCGACCAAGGATGGCAGAATAAGCGTGGCCGGCATCACTTCTGAGAATGTTGGTCGTCTCGCCGAGGCAATCTACAAGGTCAAAGGTTGAGCCATGCAGCGGACGGCATTGTCCATGAGAATATCCTCCTGAGCAGTTTCCTCACGCCAAGAGTTGAGCGGAGCGAAGCTGCACCACGATGTACATTAGAAGACGGGCATGATATTAGCGGGTGTATGGGTAGATAGGCCGCACTGGCGACCAGTAGATTACCAAAAGCGTTCCACTCTACCCTCCGCGAGTCTCCCTCCAACTCCACATCCCCGTGGGATATCGAGTGCAACGGCGGCGGCAACGACGGAGTGAGATACTTTGCGATGGTGCGAATTGCACAATCGCAGCGCGGCTACTTTTCCAGGTTGTTTCGCCGAGACCCTTGTGTGTCCCCAGCTCGTGCAGGCAGGGTGCGAGCGAGGCAAGGGAAGATGCTTCATCAGAAATGCAGACGGGCGAGGGCTTATGCGGCATCTCACATGGCATGGCAGCGGCAGGCTGCAGGAGAGTTGTGTGGTCGCACAGTTGCGGCGTTGGATGGTTCGGCGCCAGAAGTTCGCGATACACGTGCCGTGCAATGCGGTCCCGGAGATCGGGTGACGGACTGTGGTGAGAGCATCCTGGAGGGCCCCTACAGCGGCGGCTAGCGGCTCTGCGCTTGGCAAATGCAGTCCGTCGGGACGTCGGGACGTGGATGTTGTTGTGTACCTGTCGGGCCCGGTGACGAGGCGACGGATGTAGTAGGCCGAGATGGCCGATTTGACAGGACGACGATCCGAAGCCGAAGCGCCGTGAATGGTGAGGATGGCAGATGACAACAAGAAAGGTCAAGTCATCGGGTAGGTGGATGGAGTGCAAGCTTTTGCGGGAGGAGCACCGTGCAGGGTCTCGAACGTTTCCACCCAGGCGTCGGTCCCTGCCGAAAGCGCCGGAGCAGTGACGTAGGTTGGAGACGGGACAGGCATTTTCAAGAATTTCACGAGCGGAGCGGAGCGGGCAGAATGAGAGGACGGTGAGGAGGAGGAGGATCGTCTCGCTCGGTCTGCTCTGCTGGACTGGACTGGACTGGACTGGACTGGACTGAGGTGGAGATAGTGTTGTTGTGTGGCACCTCCTAGCGTTCGTTCAGTAGTAGTGGAGGTTGGTTGGCGGTAGAAACAGACAGAAGCAGCAGTGACAGCAGTAGACACTTTTAGCAGCCCTTGCGGCGGCTCTTGCAGCGGCCCTTTGCAACAACCCCCTAGCAGAGCCAAGGCTCTTAATCTAGTATAGCGTGTTCTAGTGCTAAGTATTAAGAAATCCGTCTCTTTGCCCTATAAATTATATAACCTAAGGTAGTAGTAGGCAAATAGCTATAGTAGAGACGACTAAAGAGGACGATCTCGAAGTAGTATTACTACTCGGCCTTTACTATCTACTCGGAGTAGACAAACCGGTTAAAACGCGTCTAGAGCTAGTAGAATATAAGTCTTTTAACTAGTTAATCGACTCGTAGAGCGATAGCGACTTTAAAAACTAGTATAGGTACGTAGTATACGTATTATTATTATTATTAGGTTCTAAGAAGTACTAAGAAGCTAGAATAAGGTCGCTATCGCTATCGCTAACTTATCGTTACTACCTTAGGTTTCGAAAAGTAGAGGCTCTAGAGCTCTACTTAGAACTAGGCCTAGAGTACTATAATTATCGTAATTAATAGTATAAGGGCAGCTAGTATAAGGAAGAGAAGCTAGAGTAAATACTAAAGTCAAACGCTAAGAGGCTAGCTAACTTAGCGCTAGCGGAGCGTATATAAGCCGCCTACGGCAGAATTAGACTTACTTCCTTAGAGATTAGTCTTACTATAAATCGAGTAATTACTTAGAGTGCCTTGTATATTGTTCTATCTACCGTTATAGATAGCTAGTTACGCCGGAACTAGGCCTTAGCCTTATACTCTACCGACTCTCGTTTCCTAATCGATAGTAAGAAGTACTAGGACTCTTTAGAAGGAGCCCTAGATAGCTTAGTATTACTTTTATAGATACTATATAATTCCTCTATAGGCGATTCTAGTAGATTGTAGACTAGTACCTAAGGCTCCGCTCCTATCGACAACTAAAGATATTCGTACGAGCTATTAGAAAGAGAGGTATAGGTAGATATATATAGGGCTTTATCGATAGTTATTTTTAAGACTTTAGTAGGCTAAAGAAAGAGTAAAAGAGAAAGTACTCCGGGTACTATAGAGGACACGGCTACAAATCTTAGGCTATTATTACTCCGGATAGCCTAATTTCGAGCCTAGTAGGCCTATATAATAGTAAAGATAACGAATAGCGTATATACTAGCTCTTAGGTATAGATAGGTATATAAAACGCCTTATACTATAGCGTAATCGACGATAGCTCTACCTCTATAGTAAACCGGCTTATTAGAGCTCTTTTAGAGTAATAGCTCCCTTTAAATACTTACTTAGACGTTAATTTCTTACTAGAAGTTAGCGTACTTTTAATAAGTAGCTCTCTTATATACAGATTAACGTAGAGTACCTATTTGGACGTATAATATAGCTATAGACGTATAATATTTTCGTAAAGTAGCTTAAGAGTAGATAGTAAGTAGTAGGGGCCTTTTTTATCGTTACCGTACTACTTATAAACTACTTTATCTATATACGCGGCTAGAATAAGATAAGTAGAAAGTTCGGGCTTAAACTACCCTCTCTACGCTAGTATCTATACTCGGACAACCCGGAATAGGATAAGGAAGTTAGCTAGTATAGCTAGCTCTATACTACTTATATTAGATAGCCTAGAACCTCGCTACTAGTATAGTTCTATATACTAAGAGTTATTATCTTCTTCCGCTAAGGCTAGCTTAGGTATACCCGTATAGCTAACTTTATCTCTACTAATTCGGCTTTAGGCTATATATCTCTTTAGAACTATTATATCTTTTCTTCTTTTATTATAAAATGTAGGTTTTAGGCTATACTATACCTTCCAAAAAAAAAAGTACGAAAATCCGACGTATAGTTATCGAGAACGAGCGCTACGCGTAGGTTACTAGCGGTACTAGCGGTACTACCGAAAGCTCTATAGCTTATACTAGTCGTATAAATCTACTACTACCTACTACCTTCCTTCCGCTATCTACTACTCTACTACTATATAGACGATTATTAAGAAAATATATAAGTGTTAGAAAGTACAGTCCTTAGCGGCTGTACTAGATAGAGCTAGTCACATAATTTGGTTATATAACCTATAGCTAGGAACTCTAAGTTTAGGAGGATTATATATCGCTCTAGATAATTAACTTAATTAACACATTAGTTCCTACTACCTACCTACCTTGTAGACACCTTCCGCTACAGCTATACCTATACAAAACTTTTGTTAGGACACCCTTTTAGGGACTTAGTTTAATAGAAATAGGCTTTCTAAGCAAAAATAGCTATAAAGTAAGGTAGAAAGAGAGCTACCTATTCTATTAAGATTATAGATTAAAAGAATAGTAGAAATAGCTTAGAGAAAGAGATAAAGTAGGATTTAGAAGGAGTAGAAGATTCTTATATTATAGAGTATAGAAGTATATAAAATTATATATAGAATAGCTAAATAAGCTAGTAAATAGCCTAAAGGAAGTAAGAGAGCTTTTAAAGGCTTCTCTAGTATAAAGATATAGTATAATAAAGTAGACTATCTAAAGGAATACTTAGTCTAGAGTTCTCTCTATCTATTATTTTAGAAAGATTAAAAATTAGATCTCTCTAACTTCTAGAGAGAGGTAGAAGTATAGTAAGAAGTATAAGGATAGAGATAAAGCCTTTTAGAGATAGGGTATCTATATAGATAAGTACTATATTAATATAGGCCTTTAAAAGATAAGAAGAGTATAGTATATCTAAGAGAAGAGAATATATCCTAAAAACTAATAGGTTAAAAGACCTAAAGGTAAGTATTACGAGTTAATTAGACCGTTACCTACAGCTACGACCAATTAAGACAGATATAGTAGAGTACTAACTAGGCAGTTAGTAAGGGAGTAATTAGTATAATCAGTCTACTTAGTAATTAGTTTAATTAGTCTACTTAGTAATTAGTTTAATTAGTTTGCTTAGTAATTAGTTTGATTAGTTCACCCGCTATAGATAGAAGTATATAGGAATACTAAGAAAGCCTCTAGCTTTCGATATGTTTAACTTACTATAGTATCTTACTACTTAGAATACAAACCCTTTAAGTTACTATATTACTCTATCGCTTCACTCTTCCTCTACTAGACCTCTCTACTAACGAGCCTAATACCGATTAAGCCTTATATAAGTAATCCTTATATATTATAAGATTATTAAGTTATAGACTTAATATAAAGTAGAAGATAATCGGTAACCTAGACGTATTTATTTAATTTACGAAAACTAGATAGGTTCGTAAGTATAGGATACCGATATATAATATAGCCTACGATTCTACTAGCTACTTTTAGGTGTCCGAAGCTAATAAGGCTAAAGTTAGCTCTTTTAGAAGAGCTTAACTTACTCTCTAGAGATTAAATAATTCTAACTACGTAGATAATATTATATAACGTATATATAAGAAACGTATAGATTTTGTTTAGAGAGCGGTTAAATTAGAATTAGTAAAGGCCGAAATAGATATATAACGTAAGGATTACTATAAGCTTATACTAGAGTACGAGACTTACTATAAGTGTCTTAAGACAAACTTTAAACGCTATAAGAGTAAGATAATAGTAAAGGCTTAAGATCTTTATAAGAGTTAAATCTTAGTAGTAGGTAAGGTAAGTAATATAAATATAGTATAGGTCCGACTAGCTACTACCTTACGCGTTACGCTAAAAGAATATTTTATAGATAGGCTTCTTCTAGGATATCTTTTAATCTATCTAACTCTCGATAAAGTTCTCGATATAACCGCTAATAGTAAGATAGTTATTACTAATAATATTAGACTAGACTATAGCCCCGAATTCTATAATAAGTAGTAATACTTCGTAAACTATCGGCTAGTATAGGACTGCCTATAAGTTTAATAGAGAAAACTTGTCTACTATTACGCTCTAGAGCTAGATACTAATAAGAAGGAATAAGATAATATCTTATAGTCGCTAAGTCCTTATATTTTAGGAACTAGTAGAGAGCTACCTTAGCCTACGACCTACTAGCGGTACTATTAGAGTACGATACTTAATACCTTCGGAGAGAGTATACAAATCTATAAGAAGGATTTAATTATAGATAATATAGTTTCGGAATTTTATTTAGGTTCTATAATATTATATTTTTTAGAGAGGCATAGCTCTTATTCCGGAAGGGGGGAGGGTTATAAGGCCTAAGAGCATTATTACGTAATGCTGGCCTATGCGTGCGTCTTGGCACTTACTCCTCTTTGTTCCTTCACACCCTAGTCTTAGATAGATCATTATACGACATACGAGTGCTTTTACCACAGCGCGACAGCGTAACAGCGCAACAGCGGCTACAACGGCGGTCTAAGAAGCAAGAAAGGCCAGCGCTGTGCCAGCATTACTGCAAGAAACGTAAGCTTGCAGCGTCTGCATCCGACTCCTCCGCGTTTCGCCTTGGGAGGGGGTCCACGGTGGCAGGTGGTGGAGAAGGTGTGGCCCGACCACAGCGACGGTACCGCAGTATTCGTGCATCTTGGCGGCCATGCACAGATGATAGCGCCAGGATATCGTCGGTATCACTGTGCACCCGTTGGCTGTACTACTTGGCCACGCTCTCACTGCATGCGTTGTGTGTTAGAACTTAGTGGTCGACACAGAGATGATGGCACAGATGGAGTTCGGATCTCGAACGGCGGTCGGCAGTCATCCATCCGAACCAACCGGGCGGGTCTCTGGCGACTTTCTCGAATGCTTCGTCGCATCGCATCAGGTACTGCACACCACGTCCACAGTCACGCTCACGCTCACGGCACCCATCTCTCGAATCATCAGGCGACGAGGCATACACAGACACTCTACTTGGCGCTCAGGTTGCTCGCGTGTGGCCGTGGCTGAAAGACTCTCACCAGTCGCAATAAGGTAGCGGAAGACTGTTGCAAGCGGCAAGACACGGGCAAACAAAACCACACGGCGTCACCACCAAAGGCCACCTTCCAGACTGGCGCCTCCCCCGAACAGGCTGACATGCTCCTGGCCTGGCCTGGCCGAGTCTTCACCAGATGGCGTCCTAGACCGCCAATCGTTCGGGAAAAGAAACGCTCGTCTGGTCGCCTGATGTTCCGCAGAGCTCTCCAAAACCTGAATCACGTTGAGCGTTTACTGGTAATCGGCGCTTGGGCCCTGCACCAGTGCGTCTGCATGCGTACGTGGGTGGAAGATCATGTTCGTCTTGGGAAGATGACGTCTGCTCTAGCTGCTCTTCCTCCTGTCTCCCGTCCGAGTGCCCTACCCCGCTGAGATATAGAGCGCGACGGTAGGCCTTTTCGCATTTCCTTGAGCTTGGGATCCATTTCATCTATCTTCCTAGCATATCTCCTACTTCTCACAACAGCCATAATCAATTGATTTCCCGAGGAGGAACGCATTCCGAGGAGGAACGCAATCATGGACAAGCTGAAGAACATGCTGTGAGCTACTCCGCGCCGAAAACAGACCCCATATACGCTCCAGCTCATTCGATTGCAGCCATTCTGGTGGTAAGAAACATGACGATGCCTCGTACGGCGACTCCGATGCCAGGCGTGAGAGCGCCAGCAAGGCCACTCACCAACCAGCTCCAACTCTTCACGCTACCGAAGACGGCCGCAAGAACGACCACAGTATCCTCCGCCAGGTCCTAAACCCGGGGGATGACAAGGTACTTCGCTTGGTACCAATTTGTCCAACATCTCGTAACTGATCGTTCTCCAGTACGATGAACAGAGATATGGCGCGACTGCAACGACCCAACGGCCAGACCCAAACCACATGCAGACTCACCCAGAACACGAGAAGGACCACACCATCCTTGACCAGATCTTGAACCCCAACAACGAGAAGTATGCTTCTTCTGACGCCCTCGATGGACGACACTCTGACTGTCTCTAACCTTCTAGGTACGACGAGCGCATGTTCAACGAGACTGGGGCCACTGGAGGCGCTCGCAACGGTTCCGTCACAGCTCATCCAGAACCTCAAACATTCCCCCAAACCGCCCAACTCGAGACCAAACCGGGAGAGGAGAAGAAAGAGCACACCATTCTCCGACAGATATTAAACCCGCATGGCGACAAGTACGATCAGCAGACGTTTGGTCAAAACGCTGCAGTAGAGGGAGGATCCTCGCTCGCTGCAGGTCCGTCAGGAGGGCAGCCACATATGGCGGCAGGAGCGGTCGCGTGAGTTTACGATATCCAACGGCACACACCGTGTAAAATGTGAACATGGCTTGAAGAGTGATCGACTTACGGATTCCTCTTCTAGTGTCCACCCAGCTCAGAGAGACGCTCAGTCTTCTTACACCCAACCTAGCTCCGGCCTTGCAGGTACGCCACTCAGTGCGAATGATGCTGTAGAGAGTTGTTCGAGCGTGTAGTCGGGCATTGAGGGCCCTTATGCACACAAGGCTGATGCTTCTGGACCAGGCACAGGAACAAGCAGCATGCTTCCAAATAGGTCTATTGAGAGGTATGGATTGAGATGCAATATTGCAAGGCTTTGCGGCTGACGATATAACAGAACATTGGGAGATGATCCATACCTTGGCCCTGCGACTACAACGACTACTACCACCACTACTACTACAAGTGGCCCTGATACTCAACAAAGCCGAGTCGCACAGCCGTACGTTATGTCCGACTCTAGGAGCGCTTAGACTCTAGGCTGACTTGGAAACTACAGACAATCGACACAGGACTCGCATCTGGGCCGCGACGCTGCAATTGCTGGTGGTATCGGTGCAGCTGGTGCTGGAGCATACGGCGCTTCTCAGTACAAGACTCCGCATCAGGAGAGACAAGAGTTTCCAGGCGCAGCGTCTCACGGTGCTGCTGGCATAGCGCCGGAGGACCAGGGCGTAAAGACGTATGTTGAGAGATTTGCCTGTTGTCTGGATAGAGTCGCTGATTGAAACAGTGCATACGATGACAGCTCTCATCTGGGCCGAAACACCGCCATTGCTGGAGGACTTGCAGGGGCTGGAGCGGCAGGAGCAGGTGCATATGGCGCCTCTCAGCACAATAGGCAAGATGAGACCACTAAGGTCACAGACCGACCACATCCTCTCGGCGGTAACCAACCTCACGCGCACGTCAATCCGATCAATCCTCCTGAAGATGCTGACCGTCTTGCCGCATCTCAACCAGGGCAGTCTCACCTTGGACGTGACACTGCCATTGCTGGCGGACTTGTCGGAGCCAGCGGCGCTGGAGCATACGCTGGAGCTCAGCACAACAACCTCCACAATGACCCCAATACGAAGGTCACCGCCCGCCCTCACCCTCTCCACGGTCATGGGACCGGGGCACATATCAACCCCGTGAGCGCTCCCGAGACGGCCGGAGCCGGCAGCACTCCGCAGCATGACTCCCACCTAGGCCGCGACGCTGCTCTTGCAGGCGGCGCAGGTTTGGCTGGAGGTGCGGCTGCCTCTCAGCTCTCTGACCGTAATCACCCGATCGGAGGCACAGGCGCCGGAACCTACAGTTCCACTAATGATCGTGCTATGGGACAAGGGCCAACTGATGATGCTCGTACCGCGACCGGAGCACTGCACTTTGGAACGGGACCAAGTTCCGCCCCAGTGGAGCAACTCAACCAAGCTCCAGCTGATGTACAGAATGCAACATGTACGAAACCCAAGCTTGTTCTCAAAAGAAACTTGCTGACCCTTTACTAGACACTGCTCGTGCCTTTCCACTCGGTGGTCCTCATCAAACTGACACCGCGAACGTACTAGACCCACACGTGCCGGGAGAGTATCCGACCGAGGTACGTGGTGGACAAGGATCCTGCGCTTTTCTCGCGACCATACTAATTGATTTATTTGCAGACTGGAGAAGATCGCCACGCAGTGAACGAGCCCGGCTTGAGATCTGGTGCATTTGGTGGTTTCACGAGCTCCGCACAACCCCCTGGTCAATATTCTCAACACACTGAACGTGATGCTGCTATTGCCGGAGGCCTCGTTGGCGCTGGCGCTGGCGCGGGCGCTGAAGGTGCTGCAGCATATAGCATGTCGAACAGAGGAGCTTCGGGACAAGCTCCTCCGCTAGCTTCAGCGGCCGCTACCGGACATCCTGGCGGTCAAGGCTACCCGACTTCCGCCGGAGCCAGCGCAGGACCTGTCTATTCCATGACTGGCCAATCTGGCAGTCAACACAACTACGCTCGTGACGCTGCACTCGCCGGAGGAACTGGCGCCGCTGGTGTCGGTGCCTACGAGCTTGGCAAGAATCGTGATGATGGCACTTCTCCAGACACTGGTCGCCTCCATGACCGTAATGTCGCTGGCGTTGATCCCTCAATGCAAAGAGAGGCCGAGGCATTGAAGCCTGGCAACGACAACCAACACCACTATGGACGTGATGCCGCGGTCGCGGGGGGCGCTGGCGCCGCAGGCGTAGGAGCGTATGAGCTTGGCAAGAACTATGATGATGGCACTTCTCCAGACACTGGTCGCCTCCATGACCGCAATGTTGCTGGCGTCGATCCCTCAATGCAAAGAGAGGCCGAGGCATTGAAGCCTGGCAACGACAATCAAAACTATGGACGTGATGCTGCCGTTGCTGGGGGCGCTGGCGCCGCAGGCGTAGGAGCGTATGAGCTGGCCAAGGATCGGAACGAGCCGTCGAAGCACACTGGACCACACGAGACCAGCGTCGCCAATGCTTCTGATCTGAAGTCTGTTAATAAGCCCAACGAGCCTTCAATTGCTGGTCAAGATACCCAGCAACAGCACCACTATGGTCGAGACGCTGCCGTTGCCGGAGGTGCAGGAGCTGCTGGTGCGGGAGCTTACGAGGCCGCAAAGCAAGGACCGCCACCAAGTAATCTCGCAAAGGGAGGTGATCCAACAGTCGACGCATCCAAGCACCCCGCCGAGACCTGGGACCCCAAGAAGATCGTGGAGAAGCATAAAGAGATCAGACAGGAACAGGACGACGCCGCTCAGAGGGCTGCACAGCGGACCGGAGATAAATCACAGGCATCCTACGCTGATAAGGCCCACGACGATAAGCATGATGGAAAACTTCAGAAGCAGCAGAGGAAAGACGACGAAGACGACGAGAAGGAGAAGAAGCCTGGCTTGATTTCTCGAATTATGCACCCTGGTCGGAAGGACCATGAAGCAGGAGATGAGAGGCCACATGAGAGCAGCGGAAGCCATATCTCCGGAGACAACCGTGTTTCCGAAGACGATAAGGGCCATCACAGGCTCCACAAGAAGAGTGTTGAACAGCAGCACGGAACCGATGGCTCTCAGCAGATGAGCGGGTACCATCCTCACGAAACGGGCCAAGGCTCTGGAGAGCAAGGAGTTGCTGGACCGGATTGGGATGCGATCAAGAAGTCGAACACGTCCGATTAGGGACTTGGACTTGTCATCTTCTGCACAGCGTATCGACAGTAACACGGCTTGGGTAGGATGTGGTGCCTAATACGGAGGCGATAATTGTTTGTTTGTTCTTGAATATCCCTGACGCGACGGGTTTGTTAGCAAAGCATTGGTTGTGTACATACTTTGACGATCATTTAATTGCTGTACACTTGCAAACCATACGATTGTTACGCTTTCTTCGAACATCGGTACAATAAGGTATCTCACCTCATCTCTGGAAGGACACCAACCTGGAAGTGAAGTGAAACCTCCCTGTCGCTTCGGAACTTGCCGAAAGCTAGCTGCGTTGCGGCTTTCACAGGTTGACGTCACGTCGTGCAGCTTCAGATCAATCGAGCACAGTGGAGGACGATTTCGTCTTATATCTCATCACACAACAACTATAATGCGCGTTTTCAATCCCTTCGCCGCCCTCCGTGGCCAAAGCATCACTCTCACCACCACACGCCGCTTCTCCTCATCTCCCCGCGTCCTCGCAAAGAACCGCGTCTATCCCTCCCGAATCCGCAACCCCTCCGAACTCGACACCCTCATCCTCATGTCCTCCAGCACCCGCATGCCCCTCCTCACCCTCTGGACGACGACTTGGGACCCCTCCACCCCCCAGACCTCCGAAATCCTCAAATCTCTGATCGAAGACGAGCGGACCGGAGAGGACAAAGGCGGGGTCTCCTTTGCCGAAGTCGAGATGGATTCGCCGGATCTGGGAGGCGTCAGTGGGGTTGGAATGGAGCGGTATCGGATTGACAAGGTTCCGACTCTGATTGCGTTTGATCGCGGGGAGGCGCAGGTTGCGACGAAGGTGGTGGATCTGGTGGCTTTGGGGAGCAGGGAGTTTTTGAGGGAGTGGATTGAGAGGGAGGCGGCGAGGCATGGGGAGGGGGGTGCTGGTGGAGGGGGTGAGGGGAGGAAACATCTCTTCGGGGGTAATTGGATGCAGAGACTGTTCTGAGGGGCGCAATGCTATTGCTGGGCCCTTTGTTGAGAGGTCAAAAGAGCTTTGAGGTCTCTGGTAGGAGAGCAGGGGAAGACAAAGGGCGAAATATACCGAATCCGGCGACGTGAGAAGATGGCGGTACTGTCAAAAGAGCGACGGGGTGGGCCTTCGTGCTTCGTCGTGGATGCTCTTCAGCCTTCCAGCGGATTGCTAAAGCCATGGCACAAGCTTGCGACGATAGGCCATTCCATCTGCTGCGGAACGGTCCTGGTGTACCTCGAACTCCTCGGCATTGCACGCAGCCTCCTCCGGCCCATGATCCTTGCCCTCGACCACATCCACATCATCTAGGAGTCTTTCGCGTCTGCAAGCGTTGCCGCCGTCATACGCTAAAGCTACTGGGTCTCCTTCCAGCTCGAGCCGCGCCTGCTAACAGTAGAGCTCGATATGTCGGGAACTCTCCAGCGCAACAGATGGGACGGCTACAATTCCCTGAGTCGAAGACCCCTCCTCTCAACTGGCCATCACAGCACGTCGCCGGCACAGGAATCGATAACACTCTGGGTGACCCGCCATGGCCGGGATTTTTGACGCCCATGTGCAAGGAATGCGGCGAAATGTGTCGTGCAATAGCGTGGTATCGTGGTGGACTGAATCGGCCTCTACTTCCTGAGGATGATCAACTTCCACCTCCCCGCTGGTATGATCATCAGTCTTATCCAGACTATCCCAACTCAACATGCACGTGCCGGTTCACCATCGGGAATCTGCCTATACACAACGACACGGAAGTTGGAGATGATTTGAACGAGGTCCTATGTCTGCACCACCGAGAACAAGCTTGGAACGCACTCGGGGCAAGGAAAGATGGGAACGACACGTGGCTCCGTAATGTCGAGGTGCGTCCAGGCACAGGGCACTTGGCTGCAGCGCGTAATGCTACAAAGCAAAGGAGAGTTCGCGAGGGCACCTGGCGAGCGTGTCGGTGTGGTCGAAGTACTCAGCCAAGAGTCGATCCAAACACAAAGCAATTGACCTTGAATCCGGAACCACTTGCTTGGCTTTGTATGGCGTACGTGCAACACTCGTTGAAACTCGATGCCCAATATAACTCATCTGACAAGCTTCTAGGTGCGAAGGTTATGTGATGCAAGAATTGGACCACCCTGGAGGCCCGGATTGGATACCAACCAAGACTGTCTACTCTCGGAGCACTGGAGCATCTCGTCAGGTCGAAATTTCGAAGAGGTCAGTCGAGCACTATGTTGCAGCTCTCCAGCGTGGAGCGTACCGACTCGGCCGCCCTTTAAGACGCCTATAAGTGTGCTGCAAATATCTATAAAGCTCCCTCTGCGGAGTTCAGCGTCCTACGGCTGAATTCACCCGTGGGATAAGTCACGGCTGAATTCACCTGTGGGATAAGTCACGGCTGAACTTACCTGTGGGATAAGTCACGTATGAAAAGTGCACGGTCCCACAAGCCACTTTTTAGATGGTCGCGCCGTCTGCTTCCCTTTGCCAATACCGCCATCAGCCGCCGACCAAAACTTCGACCATCGTGCGCCGCATCAACATGGCCACCTTTCTCACGCTACCTGCCGAGTTACAACTCGATATTTTCGAGTTAGCAGTGGTTCATGACGATTGCGTAATTCCATCGGAACCGCTGGCAACTTTCAAGGCGCGGAGTCAGAAGCGTGGAGGAAACAGTGCCGCCCATTTCCATGTCGCCAGCAGGTATCTGCTCGCCCTGCTGTCGCCTGACGCCGATACAGTCAAGGCCCGTTACCTCTACTTGACGGTGCTGAAAAATCATGTACTACGCAACATGCCATGTGTTCAGATCAACATCAGAGACTGCGACTTCCGGAATGCCATGCGCTTTATCAGAGCATTGGAGGACGGAGACCTGCTCGCCCGCTTCGCCCGCAACTACGATGAGGATAATCAGCGTAGTATCACGTTTGAACACAAGATCACCTCCGCCCTTAGCGAAGCGCCTCCATCTTTGGCGAAGTTCTTGCAGAAGGATAAGCAGCTACTGAAGAACGGCTTCGAGCTGAACGCAACACAGAGCATCTACAGCCCGAAGAACGTCGAGGACAAAAAGTCCCTCCATGGCTTCCTCGAGATGCGGTCGGGAATCAACCTGCAGCACAATCCTCGCTCCCAGGAAGTCAGTCTACTTCGAGAGTTCCGGGACTTTGCCTTTGATATGATCAAGGGTCGCGGCCTCTTCCCAATCCAGCCCTTCGCATTGCATCCCCGTGTGATGAAAGAGACAAAGCCCAAGGATTATATTCGGCAGGCACAAGCGATGGATATAGACGGAGATGAGGATAGTGAGGCTGGTGATGAGGAGGACGACGCAGCGGAGAGTTCACTGTCAAATGAAGCAGACTCGGGCGAAGCAGAGGCTGTGGCTGGTGCTGAACACGAAGAACCCAGCTCGGATACCGATGTCGTGATGAGTGGCGACTCAGATGAGGAGGAATACCAGGATGAGCTTGAGGCTTTCTTGGACAAGGCTCTCTTACGGCGCCAGAAATAGGGGATGACGGAGCATCAGGCGAGGAGATCGTATCTCTTGGCAGAGACTTGGTGTTTGATAAAAGGGAGAGCAGCGAGATACGATGGCACTCTGTTACAGCATAACTTATTCAGACTGTGTTATGCGAGTCTCTTTACATTTCAGTCCCTATGAAGCATTTGACCGAAACATGTGATCGAAGGACCGTGCGTCAGGCTATGCAGGCATCAGTCACGCTACCATCCCCGGGCCTACCATCCAAAGAATCGTGCGTTTTGAGACTGCATCCGCATAACGGTAAAAACATGCTCCAGACTTTCGATCATTATTGATGGCGTCAACGCATGGATTCCACGGTTTAAATTTACCTCAAAGCTTATGTCTCTTCGCTCCTGTCGCAATCTGCCTGAACTGTTCTTGAGGGATACCTTTCATGAAAACCTCCAAACCAGAGAACACCTCCTGCGCACCCAGAGCATCGTACAATTGCCTATCGGGCCCCTTCATCAACCCCTTAATCTTGAGCAACGAATCCGGGACAAGGTGCTCTCCTAGACGAGAGTCCACTTCCTCGAGCACCTGTCGCAGAAACCCGGCACTATCTTCCGGTCTGGTCTCAAACACCCTGTTGACGAAGCCGCAATGCACCAGCTCCTCGCATGTGATTCTCTTACTCATCAACAGCGCCTCGGGTCCCCTTGCCAGTCCCAGTCTCTGCGTCAACACGCGACTGGCCAGTCCTTCCGCAACGAGACCGAGTGATGTGAATGGGCACAGCAGGTATGCGTGTGGAGCCGCATACACAAAGTCTGAATGCGCTACCAACGCAGCGGCAATGCCAACGACGGGCCCATTCAGCGCCGTCACCAAGATCTTGCGATGGGAGTAGAACGCCTGTGTGATGTTGAGGTTATAAGCGGCGAAGGACTGCAGCCATTGGCGGTACTGCTCCTCTTGCGGGCCTTGATTCTGGCCGGCAACGGAGACATCCGCACCGGCGCTGAAGAAGCGTCCATTACCCGTTAGGACGGTCACGAAGATGTCGTCCCGACTGTCGATGTGGCGGAGGATCTGTGAGAGGTGAAAGAAGTAGTCTTGACGCAGGGCGTTGAGCTTCTGCGGCTGGTTGATGGTGATGATTCCCACGCGGCCGCGGGTTTCGAACTTGACCTGTTCAATGGGTTGGGGCAGCGTATCCATGGTGTCGTGCGTCAGACGCCGTGTAATGAGAAGATGTGTTTACGATTTGATGATGGTGTATGAGAGTAGACGAGAGTTGAAATGACCTTACAGTCTCTTTGCTATGTCTTAAGACGCAATCCGTTGTTGCAGCCATGTTGTCCATGCAGTTATAGGCGAAGAGGTGACTTGGTGAGGTGCTCGTGAGGGGCCTCGGCTTTCAGGAAAAAGGTATATCCGGCCCGGCGACGCGCTGACGTTAGGAGCGCGTCAGGCATACCAGGAGTATAAGTTATACTGGCTTGTCGCGAATTCGCTGACCACCTACCACGTTCCAAGACTATATTGTTCGGACCATGTTCATCTTCCGACATGGCGGCCGACGTGCGGCTCAGCTGGCAACACAACCGATCATCCGAACGCAGCGAAGATATGCATCGAAGATCGAAATTCCCTTCACGCCTCCTCCAGTACCCGTCATCGAGTCGTGCCCCGTGCCGACATGCCAATGCCGAGAAACACCGGCAGGACTGGATATCGAGCGCGAGTCGAACATCAATGGCTCTATGGCAGCATACGGCGAGCAGGTGCTTATCAGTACCGGGAGAGACGACTGGAAGAGCAAGATAGAAGAAGAGGAAGATGCAGTGTTGGTACGCCAGCTGAAGAAGTTTCTGTTGAGGAATGGCAAATATGCAGATGTTCGTGGACTATACCAATTCGATGTTGGATGTATCGTAGAGACTGATGGTATATTTCTAGCCATACCACAACGTGATGATCACAAATTCTTCCTTCAAGCCCTCGAGTTCACCACATACGCAGAACCAGAGAGCAACGCAACCCACTTCCACACCACGCTCAGATCCTGTGGCCAAACCGGGCAAGGACCCAGAGATTGTTCCGCAATCGACACCGGGCGGTCCACCAGCTTCGGCTTTCCTCTTGCCTTCTTTTCAATACATCCCAACTATACCGACAGAAGATACGGCAGTCGAAGCGTTCATAAAGGGATTTATCCTCCCACACAAGCTCCACAACCAGCACGAGCGCCTATCACGAGCAGAGAAGAACATTCTCCTTCGCGAGCCGGAGAACCAACGACAATTCGTCGGGGCACGCAAGGTCGATGAGATCTTGGTCCTCATTTGCGGCCACGGAGGCAGAGACGACCGCTGCGGGCAGCTAGGCCCTATACTCCGAGAAGAGTTTGAGGAGAAGCTACAACGACAGAACGTGGCTTTGATCCACGAGGCTCCAGTGCCAGAGGCAGAGGAAGTCAAGACAGGAGTAGAGGGATACGTGCCAACCGCGCGAGTGGGAATGATCAGCCATGTTGGTGGACACAAATGGGCGGGCAATGTCATAATCTACATCCCGCCTTCGTTCGCGACCAATCCTTTGGCTGGCAAAGGGATTTGGTATGGAAGAGTCTCTCCAGAGCACGTCGAGGGCATTGTGGGAAAGACGATACTGGACGGCAAGGTCATCAAGGATCTCTTCAGAGGCGGCATCGATAATAGTGGCGAGATGATAAGGCTGTGAAAGAATTCGAGCCTTGAAGAATAAGGTACGACTTTCGTCTTGAAGCGGACAGAAGGATGATGAGCAGTGTTTCTGGGAAGACTGCAACGGATCGCAGAGCACTTCTCACACCTTCCTATCCCGGCTTAGGAAGCAAAGCAGATCCACTTCACTCACATCTCCAGCCGTTGGAAAGCTTCACACTAGGCCAGCTTGACAACGCTTATCTTCCACCTTGTGAACCGATGTCTGTATCGCCAGCCTCCGTGCACAGTGCATTATGCACTCAAGCGCCAATGACACTCGACGCAATGTTGCAACCGAGGTCGTGTTCGAGATACACCGACCTCCGAAGTGGCACGGATTGCTTCTCCTGCAGCCGACCAATCTCGAAGAAACCTAGGCTGGTATCGAACAGTTGCACAATGACGATCATGAACAAGGATGAGTCGCGTGGGCACGAAGACTGCTTCAGCACGTTCACTGTGTTCAAGTTCCGCGCTCTCGCAATCAACTGTGTAGACTTGAACTTCATCTCGTCAGCGACAGGATGTGGCAGCCCTTCCTGCTCGCGGCATTGTCCGCTATCACAGGAGCTACTCACGTCCTTCATGAGACCAGAGCAGCTGGTGTGCATAGTTCATGGCGCGCAGTGGAGCGCGTACAGCCAGGCGCAATCATTCCCCTAAGAATCGGACTCAAACAAAACAATCTTGAGCTTGGTCCGGAGCGACTCGAGGCGGTATCTGCCCCTGGCTCCAAGCAGTATGGCAAACATTTGTCCATGGAAGAAGTCCATGACCTGTTTGCGCCGGCTCCGGACGTAATCAGCGCAGTATATGGCTGGCTGGTGGACGCTGGCATCAATAAGAGCATCATTGCTCATAGCGATAACAAGGGCTGGCTTGCTGCCAACGTTCCTGCTCAAGACGCTGAAAGGCTGTTCCAAACAGAGCTCTACGAGTACGAAAATTCGAGGTATGTGAAATGTCAGGACGTCGCGGAATCGATCATGCTGCTGAATGGTGATGCAGATCTGGCCACATCCGCATCGGGTGCGACCAGTACCACGTTCCAGCTCATCTTGCGGAGCACATTGACTATGTTACGCCGGGTGTAAAGATGTCGGCTTCTCTGAAAAAACGTACTCGGAAGCGAGATGGTCAATGGGGAGCTCCTCAGTGGGCACATTCCAAGGGACCTACACCTCATCCTTGGGGCCCTTGGAGTGGCGAGCCTTGGCGTATGCCCCCGGCTGCGGGAGGCCTTCCTCCAGATGTCCAGAACTGTGGCGTCAATATCACACCGCCGTGCTGGAGAGCTCTCTATGGCTTGCCGATGGCACATATCAATGACTCGGTCAACAACGTCGGGCTGTACGAGCAAGGAGATTACTTCTCACAATCAGACGTTAGCAAGTATTACGCGACGTATGCTTCCAACGTACCCGCGAATACAGCTCCCGAAGTCCTGGGAATCGATGGCGGCGAGGCACCTGTTGCTGCTTCCAGTCCGCTGAATTCAGGAGAATCCGACATTGATATCGACATCGTTACCTCACTCGTCTACCCACAAACCGTCATTGTCTATCAAGTCGACGATCAGGTCTACAGTCCCAAAGAAGTGGCCGTGGATAACACCTTCAACACATTCTTGGACGCCCTGGATGGCTCGTACTGTAACTACACCGCTTACGGGATCACGGGAAACAGCGCCGGTATTGATCCGACCTACCCAGATCCTGCAACGAATGGCTACAAGGGCCAGCTACAATGCGGCGTTTACAAACCTACCCGAGTTATTAGTGCCTCATATGGAGAGTCAGAGGCAGACTTTCCCAAAAAGTACGTGCAGCGACAATGCAATGAATTCATGAAGCTCAGTCTTCAAGGACATACGATCCTGGTCTCATCGTCTGACTACGGTGTGGGTAACGCTCCAGGCGACCCAACAGCGAGTGGTTGTATTTCCGGCAACGGCCAAAACCAGACAATCTACAATCCAGACTATCCTTCTGGATGCCCTTGGATCACCACAGTTGGAGCCACTCGCCTATACGCAAATCAAACGGTCAACGATCCCGAGAGTGCACTCCAAGCAGACCTCTACAGACCCGGAAGAGCGAATGCTTACCATTTCTTCGCCACAGCCGGTGGATTCTCGAATTACTTTCCTACCGCCTCATATCAGAAGAAAGCAGTCGGAGAGTACTTTGCTGCTCACGATCCGAATCATCCGTACTACATCGTCAACGACAATGCAACAAACGTCGGGGCGAACGGAGGCATCTATAACCGAGCAGGAAGAGGCTACCCAGACGTGAGCGCGAACGGCGCGAATATGCTGGTGTACAACAACGGCACTCTGGGTAGATACTACGGCACTTCGCTCGCCTCTCCCATTTGGGCGGCTGTGGTTACGCTTCTCAACCAACAGCGCACCATTGCCGGCAAGGGCCCGATTGGATTTCTGAACCCGGTGCTCTATGAGAATCCTTGGGTGCTCAATGATATTGTAAACGGATCGAACCCGAATTGCGGATCGAGTGGTTTTGATGCAGTTCCCGGTTGGGATCCGGTGACGGGATTGGGGACGCCCAATTACCCCAAGATGCTGGATCTGTTCTTGAGTCTGCCTTGATATAGCCTGTCAAGGATCCGTAAGAATTGCAGCGCGATCTGTATGAACTCACCGCGGAATACCACCAGCGTCGCTTCTTTCTTTCTCACTTGTTCGCTGTTCCAGCTCGCTTGAGATCATGTCTGCAAAGCTCTTGCCTAATACAATTCGCACGGCGACTTATTGCTCGCCGCAACAGCTGTTATATCAAATGACTCGGGACTTGATATCTGGTGATGACGCGGACGAGAAGAGAGTTGGAAATTCATGCTGCAGGCAGGCCCAGACAGGGCTGGCTGAGGTTCTTCGAGAAAAGCTGCTGTATCCGATCCTACGGCTTCTGATGCCCATAAATGTTGGGGATACACCTGAGAAAAAAAGGTTTCCATATTCTAGTATGTATGTATCTTGGTTGAATCGAGCTTTTTCGTGAAACCCCCTTTCGTGTTGAATCATGCCTTCTTTTCTTGCCGGACCGAACGCCTCGCTAAACGTCACAATCTTAGGATGGTAGTCTTGGACTTAGGCAGCCGAGTCTTGCGCACACTCTTGCAGATACTTGGCCAACTTCTCCGCCGCGGCCACTGGAACGGCGTTGTAGTTGCTGATACGGATACCTCCTACGCTACGATGACCCTTGAGTCCGAGGAGTCCTCTGCTCTCCGCGCCCTTGAGGAATGCCTTCTCCGCGGCGTCGTCGCCTCCCTTGACGCGGAAGCAGATGTTCATGCGGCTCCGGACGCTCTTATCCGGGACGACGTGGTAGATATTGCTATGGCTGTCCAGGGTGGAGTAGAGAAGAGAGGCCTTCTTGTCTGATTCGGCTTGCTGGCCTGCGATCTTCACACCGCTGGTGCTGCCGGCTTTGCTGATGAGGCCTTGCATGACCTGGCCGGCAATCCAGACATCTTCGTCTCACCGTCAGTATGATATTCTCGAACGGATTGCACTGGTTAACTCACCAAGGATGGGCAATGTGTTGTACAGGCTGTTGTTCTTGGCAATGGTCGGCCAGTCGAAGACGACAGGGCTAACGGGCAGACCGAGCTTGCGGAGAAGGGCAGGCTTGGCATAGTCTGCGTGAGGTGGTAGGACGGAGTTGGACAGGATGACGATGGTGATGCCGGCGTTTGCCACGTTCTTCTGTGCACCGCCGAAGATGGCGGCGTGCTTCTTCAGGTCGACTGGTCTGGAAAGGAAGTTGCTGCTCATATCGGCGACCAAATTGTGGCCTGGAGGGGTTGAAGGGAATTCCACGCCATCGACGGTCTCGTTGTCGCAGTAGTAGGTCAAGGCCACGGAGGACTCGTCTTGGGTGGCGTTCCAGGTGGACTGCGCCGGGATGACACCGAATTTGCCATCGCGGTGCTTCCTGGCATCCGTGACGAGGTTGACGTGGTCTTCGCCCACCAGTCTCCCTGCTTCCTGAGAAGCTTTGAGGGACCATGATCCCGTGACCAAGTAGTCCATCTTGAGCTGCTTGTCGACAATCTCCCTGAGCTTCTCCTCGTCGCCCCCAACCGCTTTGAGTTGTTTGGCGACCCAGATGGAGACCATGTTGGACACGGCATGGCTGAAGCCTCCGCTGCCGCCACCTTGCAGGAAGAGAACTTGGTAGCCGTCCGGGCCATCCGACTCGGGGATATCGAGGAGCTGACGAAGGCCTTTCTGGGCGTTGGCGAGAATGTCGGTCGCGTCTGCGCTGCGGTGCGAGATTTCTGCTATGCCCACTCCCGAGTCGTTGTAGTTGAGAATGACTTTGGAAGCCTGGGAACAGGTCAGATTCGCTCTAGCGTTGCAACTGATGAGAGAATGTTTTGTTGCATACCTCCTCCAAGACGGGAGTTGGCAGTGGGGCTGGTCCCGCGCCAAAATAGTAGACATCTTCTCTGGAAGGCATAATTGGCAGTCGGTAGGATGAGAAAGGATGATATATATTTCTCTCTGCCTCTCTATATATTCTTGTGATGTGCAAGTAGGTACATGTACTGTATGACTGGCCCAGCAGCCTGCTTCGGTCGAATCCCGCCGAACTCCGATGTCGCCGGCGGGAAAAAGTTGGTGGTGTTCACTCGTCGAATTATTACCCGCATCCTGACTGGCTACAAACATCAAAACACCTCCCCATCCATCTGCTCTCCGATATCTGGTCCTGTGTATGCTAGCAGCGAGTGGATTTTGATCGCGACAGCCAGCAATGGCGGCATTGAGAGCATGTGCTGGCAGGAGCCTGCAGAGGCTGACGAGAAGCGTGAGTGCACCACTCCATACCACCACACTGCCAGACATTGACACCGTTCCAGCAAAACACCATATCCCCACGACCTATCATACTATCACGATCACGCCTGCCGACCTCAACGCATTCACAACATCGTTCGCGATTCATCTCGACAACCCGTCCCGCCCGGCTCGCCGAATTGACCGACGCCTTCCCCTCCCAAATCCAAAACACACCCGCGGAATTCCTTGGCCGACCCGCTCAAGCACCCACTGCGCCGCAAACGTTGACTGAAAAGATCGTCCAGAGATATTCGCAAGGGCTACCGGATGGCAAGTTTGTCAAGTCGGGAGACTATGTCACACTCTCTCCACACCACTGCATGACCCACGACAACTCCTGGCCTGTCGCGACGAAATTCATGAGCATCGGAGCCACCAAGATCCACGATACGAAGCAGATTGTCATGACCCTGGATCATGATGTCCAGAACAAGACTGAGAAGAATCTCAAGAAGTACGAGCAGATTGAGTCGTTTGCGAAGGCGCAAGGAGTAGACTTTTACCCGGCTGGACGAGGCATTGGACATCAGATTATGGTCGAGGAGGGTTACGCCTGGCCCGGAACGATGGCAGTGGCCAGTGACAGTCACTCCAACATGTACGGAGGCGTCGCGTGCCTTGGAACACCCGTGGTGCGCACGGATGCAGCCAGTATTTGGGCCACTGGGAGGACATGGTGGCAGATCCCTCCGATTGCAAAGGTCACCTTCACTGGAATCCTCCCCGAAGGTGTTACTGGCAAGGACGTAATCGTGGCGCTCTGCGGATTGTTCAACAACGACGAGGTACTGAACCACGCCATAGAATTCACCGGATCCACAAATACCATGCGGAGCCTGCCAGTGGATGACAGATTAGCAATCGCAAACATGACCACGGAATGGGGCGCTCTTTCTGGTCTCTTCCCTATCGATGATGTCCTCAAGGCTTGGCTGCGCTTCAAGGCTACAGAAGCCAGCATGTACAAGTCGCCTTCACAGACTTCCAGCCTGACCACCGATCGATTCAACCACGAAAAGCTCGACGAGCTGTTCAGCAATCCTCTGACAGCCGACAAGGGCGCTACATACGCCAAAGAGCTGTACTTGGATTTGTCTACTCTGTCTCCGTACATTTCCGGTCCCAACTCCGTCAAGGTGGCAACTCCATTGGCGGAATTGGAAAACAAGGACATCAAGGTCAACAAGGCGTATCTGGTCTCTTGCACAAACTCGCGCCGATCAGATCTGGAGGCCGCCGCCAGGGTGTTTAAGTCAGCTGCAGACTCGAACGGCAAGATTCCAAAGATCGCGGACGGTGTGAAGTTCTACATTGCGGCAGCGTCCCTTCCAGAACAGCAGGCCGCCGAGGAGCAGGGCGACTGGCAAGCTCTTCTCGAAGCTGGTGCCGAGCCTCTGCCTTCTGGCTGTGGTCCGTGTATTGGTCTTGGCACAGGACTGCTGGAGCCGGGCGAGGTTGGCATCTCTGCTAGCAACAGGAACTTCAAGGGTCGCATGGGCAGTACAGAAGCGAAGGCATACTTGGCTAGTCCCGAGGTGGTCGCAGCAAGTGCTCTGTCTGGAAAGATCTCTGGCCCTGGTTGGTACGAGAAACCCGCCAACTATGCCGGGGTCAACCGCGGCTTGGGTGATGGCGTGCCGGAAGAGCATCGCATGATCAGCATCGAAGACGCCCTTGACAAGATTGTTCAGCAAGCAGAGGCCGTCGTGCAGGAAGGTGAGCGAACACTTTCTGGTGCTTCTCCCGAAGCGCCTTCTTCACATGAAGCGGAAGAGAGCTCTAGCGGTCTGACCGAAATCCTGCCGGGTTTTCCTGAAAAGGTCACTGGCGAGATCGTGTGGTGCAACGCGGACAACGTCAACACTGATGCCATCTACCCTGGCAAGTATACCTACGACGACGCTTTCAGTTCAGATCCCGCGAAGATGGCTACCGTCGTGATGGAGAACTATGACCTTAACTTCGCTAAGATTGCCAAGCCCGGTGACATCCTGGTGTCTGGCTTCAACTTCGGCTGTGGCTCGTCGAGAGAGCAAGCTGCGACCGCTATATTAGCCAAGGGACTTCCGTTGGTTGTGTCTGGTAGCTTTGGCAACATCTTCAGCCGTAACTCCATCAACAACGCTCTGATGGGCGTGGAGGTGCCGAAGCTTATTGAGAGGCTGCGAGCCGCTTTTAATGACGATGCACCTGCCGCCACCGGCCAGGCTGGTAAGGCGGCCATCACTGAGCCAGGGCAGAATAGCCAGAGCTTAGACTCACCGCCTCCAGCGCCCGTGAGTAAGCCGACGGAGAAGCCACTCACTGTGCGAACAGGCTGGACATTTACATGGGATGTGCGACGGAGCCAGGTCCTAATTAAAGAAGGCGAAAGTGGACAGAGCTGGACACAGAAGGTCGGCGAGCTCCCGCCGAACGTGCAAGAAATCATTGCTCGTGGCGGATTGGAGAAGTGGGTGCAAAAGGAGATTGCAGCGGAGAGCAAGCTTGCTTAGAGGGATGAAAATTGAAAAGTTGTCTTGATGATACCCAGTTCGATGTAGCATATAGTGTACAAATAGCGTCGGGGGAGCGCAAAGATGACTGCATTTGCCTTGTAACGTCTGCAGGCATTGGGTCTGTGGACAATAGAGGATATCGCGGTTACCACGTGCTGATCTCGCGTCAGCCCACCGTGGATTTAACCTCGACTTCACGTCTTTCCCAGTCTTTGAAACTTTTCTCAACTTCGCCGACATCCATGACAACTTCCACGGAAGAAGCACGTTCTATTACCTTCCATATCCTCTGAGCCTCTCTGAGTTGCCGGAACCATTTGAAAGCGCTCTTCATTAATAATATCGGAATCGCTACACCCACAATGTCCCGATCAAACGATCCCGGGCACTACTTCCAAACGTCCGATGCCCTCGCCACCTCCAAGCGCAAAGCAGCCAAAGCCAAGAACCAACACGGAGACCCAATCCAGCTCCCGTCCAAAATCCTCGCCGCCGTGCCCGCAGGTGCCACCAACAACAACAACCAAATCTACGTCGCCGAGGCAGCAGGCGAAATCCACCTCGTGGACCTCTCATCGAAGCAGACGGAAAACGTCTTCTCCCAGGGATCCGCGCCGCTGACATGTCTCGCCGTGGGCGCGGATGGGACGGTGTATGCGGGATCTTGGGACAAGAACGTCTACGCCATTGATCCCACGGGCAACAAGACGAAGACGAAGACGAAAGCCAAGACCTTGCGGGGACACACGGATTTCGTCAAATGTCTGCTCATAACAAAAATTTCCGGGAGGGAGATTCTCCTGTCCGGCGGCGCGGATGCTACGATTATCGTTTGGGATTTATCATCATCATCATCATCATCAACATCGGGTGACTACAAAATCCTGCATAAACTCAAAGTCCACACCCAAAAAGCTCTCCAGGCTCTGGCGATCGACGCGAGCGCGACGACGGAGGACTCCATCACCCTCTTCAGCGCCAGCAGCGATCGCGAGATCCGCCGTTGGGAAATCAGCCTCTCCACGACACGGGAAATCCACACGGACGATGCCCTCCTCCGACCCCACGAGACGAGCATCTACCGCCTCCGCTGGTCCTCCGAAAATGGCGACGGCGACGACGGCGAGGACGGCGATCTGTGGACCGCCTCGGCGGATAAAACCGCCAAACGCCTCCTGCGACACGCCCACTTCGCCACATCAGACACCACGCTCGAGCATCCGGATTTCGTGCGGGATGTGCTTCCCTTCGACGCGCTGGGTCTCGTCGTGACGGCCTGCCGGGACGAAGAAGTGCGCGTGTGGGAGATTGCGAGCGGGCAGGTGCTGTGCACGTATAGCGGGCATTACGAGGAAGTGACGGGGCTGCTGCCGACGGACGAGGGGAAGGGGGTGGTGAGTGTGAGTATTGACGGAACGGTGAGGAAGTGGAGTCTGTTGAGGGAAGAAATGGCCCAGTATCAGGAGCGATTAGCCAGAGAGGCCAACGGAGAGGAAGGGATAGAAGGAGCGAAAACGGAAGAAAACATGCTCACGGCAGAGGAAGAAGCGGAACTGGCAGAGTTGATGGAAGACGATGATTGATTGATTGAGGATGAGCTGGTTTCTCCTCGTGTGATTCTTCTGTCGATGGACCAGGCCCCCCGGGGACTTTCCTGCAAGAACTGCATCTACACATGATGCTACCACCTGTAGCGGCCATTTACACATTCCAGTACCCCCTGAGAAATGCCACAGAGCCGACCAACGCCTCGCTAAGTTTGATCATCCCAGTAGCCTCATGACCGAAACTATTACAAATCCCATACGTTTGATGCGCCATGTCACGCGCAGTCTCCACAGCGCCACTCCGGTGGTCTCTTGTCCAAGCCCAAGCAGTCCATGTGAAACACGCGGCCGCATCGCGGGTTCTGGCACGCGATTGCCCTTCGCAGACCCTCTACTCGCTTCTCACAGATGCATGGCCGATTCTTCGGCCTCGTGAGTCTCTCTGGCTCCGTGGGCCTTTCTGGCTCTGGGGTTATTTCCGGCTCTGTTGGTCTCTCTGGCTCTGGGGGCGTTTCCGGCTCTCTGGTTCTGCCGGGCTCGTACCATCTACCTTTGCCCTTGCCCCTTGGTCGAGGCGTCGCGTGCTCTGTCGCTTCCTCAGACATCAAGTAGTGCTGCGCGTGATTTTCTTGATAGAGCTCATCTCGCGACAATACCTCGAAGTAGATCGTGCCAGTAGTCTCATTGTGCGCCAGGGCAAGTGCTTCGTGTAGATCCTTGTCATTGGTAATGGGCAGTCGGAAGTCGTTCACGATGCATACCAGAATATCTCGTTCGAATTCCCCCTGCCCAAACCGGAATGGATCATCTCTCAAGCCATCGATGAATCTGTCGTAACCAATATCTGATGGTTCCAGCTCTTTCTTGTCCTCAGGCACCCCATGCTTCGTCATTCTTCGTATTGGCATCTCTGTCGAGTTCAGGGTGGCCGTCGGCCTGCTACAGATGACTTTGCGTTTTCCAAATCGGTCGTGTTCTCTTTGGCTTGTTGAAGACGGGGAGGTTTGCCGATATGGCCGGCTCTCATCCTCTTCTGTCGATATTATTCTGCCATCCTTCCATCTCACTCGATGGGCCGAATGTGCAGCCGCTGGTGACTCTGGAATCTCGCCGTTGGGCCACCTTGTGGACATATTTCTGTCGTTGCGCACCTCAGGACCTGCGCCGCGCTTCTCTGCTGCCTCATTCAGGAGTGCCATGCAATACACTGTGGTGTCATTGCCGAAAATCCGTCGACTCTCCATCTGTTCCAGCTTGGCGTGGAACTTTTCTCTCCATTTCGACTCGCAAAGCTTGGCTGCAAACTTTCGAGCGAACCGCACTATAGCATCGCGAGTAAGCCTGTCAGACGTCGGTCGTTCCAAATCGAGATGCTTGTTAAACAAGGCGTTGAAATCTTGCGAAATGTCGTCGAGGCCAAGCTTCGTCAAGTCACGTCGCTGACTTTGCACCCGCCATTCCACATCAGGCTCTTCGTCGCTGTCACTCAGCACTGTACCGGGCAGGATTTTCTGTTTTGAAGTTGTCCTATAGAAGTTGATGCCTGGCACGTCCGGAATTCTGTGTTTCCGGCGTTTCTGTGGGCCCAAGTCTTCGACGTCCACAGGGGAAGGCAGCTTCCTCTTTTCACGTGCAGCACCTGGCGGTCTTTGAGATGATGCCTCCTTCACTGTTTTGGCTTTATCAGCCGTCATGTTGCCTGCGCGCAAAGGCTGCGGAATCCAGGCAGTATTGCCGTTCAAATGCGCCGCAACATCGAAGGGCTTTTCCGGGGCTTGCCAGCCGAATTCAGTCTCGTCGTCTTTTGACTGTTGATGTTCTTCAAAAGCAAGTATCCTGATAGTTCGAGTGTCTCCGCCGGGTGCGTCGCTTTCGTCGGCCTCGAAGCGGAAGTGATTGTGGTGTGTGAGTAAGTGAAGCCGCAGGCGCTCAAATGAGAGGTACTCGCTTCCATGTGGACACAGTGCGCAACTGAATCCCTTCACGTCAAAGCGGTGAATCTGCGCTCCATCCTGCCAGAGATACTTGATGAAGCACGTGCGTCTGAGTACTTCGAGATCGTCTGATACCGGCGTGGGCAGCTGACGAGGCTCGCCGCGCTGAAGCATAAGAGCGCGACCTGCGGTGGCGAGCGGCGAAATCTCTTCATTCCAGTTCATGGTGATTGCCGCGCCGTATGGCAACTGCACGCGATTGCGATCCTTGGCTAGCATAAGGCTGAAGAGTTGGCCGGGGCCAGGCAACTCGGGAAGAAGTGTCCAGCGAGCGAGCAGGCTCTCGTGTGAAGTAGTCTTGGAGGATACGTCGCCAAGAGAGTCGTCGATATAACTCAGGAGCTTAGCCGTGTCATTAGGGGTTTGACATTGTATGCGAACTTCGATAGCGAACCTTTGCTCGCCCTGCCACGACCATGATTCTGTACCGCTGGACTCACTCCTCGGAGTAGTGAAGGTGTCAACTGGGACAGAGAAGGTGTCTGCCAATTTGACTTCGAATGTGGGAGCTCCTCGCGCTTGGTCCACTTTGAGGACGTCGCCGAGTCTGTAATCCATGAACACGGTCTCTCTTTCCGCCATGTGATCGACGATGGCCAACGTGACATGACAGCGCATCTTGCTGTCGTCAGGCGGCGGCAACCAGCTAGGTCCATCTTCATCCAGCGAAGGAGGCCCATCTTGCAGCGGACTTGGCGGGTGTGATTTCGTCCTGAGGTGAATGTTGCTGACTTTGAGAGCAGGCTTGGAACCCTTTAGAGCTTCGGCCATGGTTATGTCGTCGGTGGCATCTTCTCCATAGAGCCGGTCGAGCAGGTTTCCCAAGTCGGCGTTCCGGGATTCGTCGACGCCGTGATGGTCTGCAGCAGATTGCGCATTCCCGGTCTCCCTTGAAAAATGTCGCTCGTGGCAGTCCAGGACGTGTCTAAGGTTGCGCTGTAGGAATGTGCTGGGATGGGCGATACTGCGGTGTTGATACAAAATTATATTTCCTTTCGAGGGTCGACGGTCTACGCCAAACATCCTTTAGAAGGTACCAGTGCGTTCACACCGGCGCGCGCTTTGTTCAATTGCTGCTTTGTTCATTTTTGTTCCGGACAATAGATGTAGGAGGGGTATTGTCGCCTTCAGCCGATGGTAGCCCGGTGGAGGAGATGTGTTTCGAATACTTCTTATGAATGCGCGCTCATACGCGATCCTGCTGGCGGGTGAGACTCGGTGTATTATCATTCAAAGGAGCGAGACGCGCAGTGCCGAACATGCAGCCGACCGTCTTTGTTTTGTTCATGCAAAGTCAAGTCGAGGTGGAGTGGGAAACGCGACTGCCCTCAAACCGGGATTGTAATTGGCCCAAGCGCTGACCTTGGTCTTGGCACAAAGGACGTCTGCTCTACGCTTCTCGCGTGTTCAGGATGCTCAGGATGTTCAGGATGTTCAGGGATGGAGGACAAGAGAGAACAGAGATGGAGATTGACAGGTGGAAGAAGCGAGAGGATTCTTCCGATCAACGCGTGCTCATTCCCGGCTTATACACCTTCAACGCCGCTGGCTATTGGAAGATGCTGTGCGCTCTGACCTGAAAGCTGCCGTTGCAAGAACAGCACTCATTAAGCGCGCGCATCCATCGGATAGCTCCTCGTCCATGCGCGTTATGCCCTGCGCCCCGAATCATCTACCCAGAAAAGGCAGGTCAATCTAGTATGCATCAACGCCCTGAGAAAACCACAACGCTTCTTCATCCAACACGTGTGCCTGATCTGATATCGTGGATTGGATAAAGACCAAAGATGCCCTTAGCAGATGCATCTCCACTTAACAGCAGCCACCCGCGCTGCCCGACTGCACGTTCGAGCCTTGGCCGACCTGCACAGTGGGCTTGTTGTTGACCGTCGTGTTGCCCATGCGCTCCTTGATCTGGCGTGCCATGGTCAAGAAAGCTTGCTCGACGTTGCTGGCGTTCTTGGCCGAGGTCTCGAGGAATGGAATTCCCAGGCTGTCCGCGAATTCCTGTGCTCCAAGTCAGCGTGTTCAACCCTTTCTGCGTCCCCTTGGCCCGCCACGTACCTTAGCCACGGTGTACTCGACGACCTTCTTGTCCGACATATCGCTCTTGTTTCCCACCAGAAGCTTGTTGACACCCTCGGTGGCGTAGCGGTCAATCTCTTGGAGCCACTGCTTCACGTTGTTGAAGCTGTCCATGTCGGTGACATCGTAGACGACGCAGATGCCGTGGGCGCCACGGTAATAGGAAGAGGTAATGGTGCGGAAACGCTCTTGTCCAGCAGTGTCCCACTGTGTTCGAAATCAGCTTGTCTCTCGGCATGCCCGTCTCTTTGCAAGTACGTACGATCTGGAGCTTGACAGTCTTGCCGTCGAGCTCGATGGTCCGGATCTTCTAGATGGTTGTCAGCTGACTCTCCTCGTGCCGCCCGAAATTCTGCAGTCGACGTACGAAGTCGACACCGATGGTGGAGATGTAGCTCTCGGTGTAGGTGTCGTCGGCGAATCGAAGGAGCAAGCAAGACTTTCCGACACCGGAGTCTCCGATGAGCAGAAGCTTGAAGAGGTAGTCGTATCTGTGGCCCTCCTTATTAGCACTGTTAACCACCAAAGACTTGTTCACGTTGTCCGACTCTGGCTGTTGCGCAACTGGCTGTGGGATCGGCATGGCGTCTACGTTGCTGGTGGCGGCGACGAGGGTTGGTTTCGAGATGTCTGACTTCGAGATGCGGCGCTTCGGCATGTTGTCGTTGTTGTCGCCGCGGTGTTATGCGTCGGTGGGTGGTTGTCGTGCGGTAACTCGTCGAGGCATCACGCCTTTTGAACAATAGCAGAAGGGCATAACTCTAGGCACCAGACCATTAGCACCTCGTCATACTTCACCTCACTGTCACATGCAAACGCGCGGAACAGTGAAGTGAGGTGAGCTTCTGGGACTCACTACTCTGGATTCATGGCTGGAGCGGCGATAGTGCCAGGTGAGGTTCAAGGTTGAGAGGAGGGCTGCGCACGCGGTGGAGGATCAGGGAGTCTTGTCTGCCGTGGTAAGGACCAAGTTTGCGTGATGAGTTGTAGCTTTGTCGGTCGCGCGCAAACAGATGAGGTGTGCTTCAGACAGATGATCTACTGACACACTGACCGTTGTACTGCCTGACCTTGACCCTTGGCGAGAGCGAGCAACAGTGCAGCCAGCAGCGGCGACCGCCCGTTCGTCAGCCCTCCCACGCGCACGCCCGAGACTGACCAATCACGGCCACGCACGCCCTAACTGCCGAAACAAAGCCGCAGGTGTGCCTGGAACAGAATGAACGGTCGGTGAAACGCAGACTTCACTTTAATGGCGGAGCAAACCTCTCTTTCACATGCTATCTACCATTTTGGAGCCCTCGCGACCGCAGGCCAAACGTCATAGGTCTCCCATGCAAGAGCCCAAACCCTTATCGCCGTGGAACCATGTACAGCGCTCGATGAGAGGCGCTGTCCCTCTGCCTGAGCACAAAGCTATTAAACATGTAGAAAAGTCCCATTCTCGAGTTTGCTTGTCCAGCTCATCTCCAACCCGGGTTCGGTGGCGGCGACTGATACTGTCCGTAGCCTCCTTGCTGTCCGTAGGCCGCTTGTCCTCCATAACCTTGCGCGCCCTGGTTGTAAGCTTGATACTGCTGCTGCTGGTCGTGCGCGGGGCCTCCCGAAGGCGGTGGAGGGAATGAATGACCGCCGTAGCCTGCTTGCTGGCCGCTGTACTGATCGTAGCCCTGGCCATGGCTTGGAGGTCCATAACCGCTTTGTCCATACTGCCCTGAGGGCGGAGGAGGCGCATGTTGTCCCAACCCGCCTTGATGTTGCTGGCCGTATGGCGATTGATGACCGTACTGTGACTGGTCGTGTCCATATCCTGACTGGCCATGAGGATGATACGCTCCGCTTTGCGGCCCAAAGCCTCCTTGTGGACCGCCGGGAGGGCCTGGTGGGTGTTGTGCGTGAGATGGTTGCTGATGTGACTGCTGCGAAGAAGGGGCGTTGTAACCGCCTTCGTGCGAGCCGTATGCGGCCGAAGGAGTGTGACTCTGTGAATGTGCACCGCCTGTCGGCGCCTGATAAGACGCAGGCGGTGCCTGGCCTTGATACGGTCCAGTCGACTGGTTGTGGGTGTATCCGTAGTTCTGGCCGCCTTGAGGTTTGCCATGTCCTCCCAGGAAGCTGCTTGCCATCGATCCAAGTTGTCCCAACCCTCCACTGCTCGAGTGACTTGACTGTCCATGCCCACTCTGTCCACCGTGTGATCCTCCAGAGCTCGATCCGCCTAGGAAGGACTGGGCGATGCCTCCGAGACCGCTTGAGCTTCCATGCTGCTGATTTGAGCTGCCGTGCGAAGACGATCCGCCCAAGAATGATTGCGTCAGGCCTCCTAGACCTCCCGACTGACTTGAGTTCTTGCCGCTGTTGAGCATCGAGTTCAGCAGAGATCCCTAGCGCTGTTCGTCAGCTCTTTTCCTGCGTTGCATGACAAAGCGCATGCTGTCACGTACTCCCAAGCTCCTGTCTCCTCCCTGTCCGTCTGCTCCCCTTGTGCCGTCAGGTCCAGGCGGCGCATATGGGTTCTGGCCCGCTGGCGTGCCACCAGGCGTCGGTACTCCGTGTGCGCTCATGGTCGGTACGTCCCACGTGGATTCTCCGGTGCTAATTTGGACAAAGTAATACTTTCGAGATCTGGGTACTTGTCAGGATGAAACTCGTAAAGAGAGCCAACGAAGTAGTTCTTTGAGGCCTGAATGTCCCCAGAGTCTGAGCCACGTTCGTTGCGGGCCATGTCAACTTACTTCGCATCCCACTGCGCGATCCTTCACACGACACCAGCTACGTCAGTGCCAAGCGCAACAGCAGAAATGAGGGCGAGCGGGCGGGAAATGCAGTGCAGTAGATGGAGTGTGAGCTCGAGCGGAGGAAACGCACCATCCGGGTGGGAGAGAGGGCGGAGCGTGGTCAGGTCCAGCATCAGGTGTGCTCGGCTCAGCCATCTTGCGGCTCCTTCGTAGGTGATTGTTTGCGCAGAGTGTAGGTAAGCTCTGTACTCCGAACGTCGGAAGCCGCAGGCGACGAGCTTTGTGTGGTTGTGGAAAGGGTGAGCTGTTTTGGGAAGCAGCGGAAGACGCGGTCAAAAGAAAGGAAGAGGCTCGAAGGGGTTTCAGATCCGGACTGCTGGCTTGGCTGCTTCTATTATCTCAACACCCAAAATTGGGCAGCTCGTCTCGTGAGATGTAATAAGGTAGATACCCAATGCACTGCAGCGGGAGGAACGCGCCCGATGCGAATCGCCCGTGCCCCTGCTATCGTCTGACGGCATGGCTTGTTGTCCATCACTCAGCACCTTGACAGCTGATACTCACCAACGCCTGTTGAACGTGGTTACGTTATTGTGCAGACTCGTCGATATTACATGCACACCCTATATGCCAACAGCACAATGTGGCGCAGGCAGGCTCAATTATATCTCCACAGCCGTCCGATGACTTCTCTTCCGGGAACTTGAAACTTTTAAGGCCTTGATTTTTCTGGAACGTCGTCTTTGACTTTACGAAGAATACCGTGTTGGTGGGAACACCGAGAGTGCGGCCTAGGCAAACCGGCAAGTGGCCCGTCGAGAAGTAAATGGTCTTTCCCGGAACATCATCATCCAGGGTGGAATGCTGCAGGGGAGATTCATGGGGTGGTATTTGGTGCTCGCTCAGCTTTCCATCAAAAAAACAGACAAAAGGAAATACAACACTCCGCGCGCAAGCTCCTCTAGCTCATGCTGTAGGGTATTTGGCAAGCGCTGATACCGCCAAAGGATGCCCACACCGCCAAGTGCGCCAGGTTGATCAATCGACATTTTGCTTCCATCCCTCACACTCCGCTGTTCACATCCACCAGATAGCGTGTTGCGCTTAGTACTCGGCCTCGGCGCCCTCCTCGCCCTCGGCGGAGTCGGCGGCAACCTCCTCGTAGTCGCGCTCGAGCGCAGCCAAGTCCTCACGAGCCTCGGAGAACTCACCCTCCTCCATACCCTCACCAACGTACCAGTGGACGAAGGCACGCTTGCTGTACATGAGGTCGAACCTGGAGTTGATTGGGTCAGTAAATGCAGCAGGCACTTCGTGATCACGAGTTCACTTACTTGTGCGAGAGGGCCGACCAGGCCTCGGCAATGGCGGTGGTGTTGGACAACATGCAGACGGCACGGTTGACCTTGGCAAGGTCGCCGTTTGGCACCATCTGTGGTGGCTGGTAGCAGATACCAATCTTGAATCCAGTTGGGCACCAGTCGACGAATTGGATGGTACGCTTGGTCTTGAGGGTGGCGACAGCCTGGTGAACGACCTGAGGAACGACATCACCGCGGTAGAGCAAGCAGGTGGCCATGTACTTGCCGTTGCGTGGATCGCACTTAACCATCTGGCTGTTTGGCTCGAAGCAAGACATGCTGATCTCCTGGACGCTGTTGGCCTCGTGGGCGGCCTTGGCTGCGGAGACGATAGGAGCGTATGCAACGAGAGGGAAGTGGATACGCGGGTATGGGACCAAGTTGGTCTGGAACTCGTTCAGATCCACGTTGAGCGAGCCATCGAAGCGGAGCGAGGCGGTGATGGAGGAGACGACCTGAGCGATCAGGCGGTTCAGGTTCTCGTAGTTGGGACGCTCGATACCGAGGTTGCGTCGGCAGATGTCGTAGATGGCCTCGTTGTCGACCATGAAAGAGCAGTCGCTGTGCTCAAGGGTGGTGTGGGTGGTCAAGATGGAGTTGTATGGCTCGACGACCGAGGTGGCGACCTGTGGTGCTGGGTAGACGCAGAACTCGAGCTTGCACTTCTTGCCGTAGTCGACGGACAGGCGCTCCATCAGGAGAGCACCGAAACCGGAACCAGTACCACCACCGAAGCTGTGGAAGACGAGGAAACCTTGCAGACCGGAGCAGTTGTCGGCGACGTGGCGGACCTTGTCCAAGACCTGGTCGATGAGCTCCTTTCCGACGGTGTAGTGACCACGAGCGTAGTTGTTGGAGGCATCCTCCTTGCCAGTGATCATCTGCTCGGGGTGGAAGAGGCTGCGGTATGCGCCGGTGCGGACCTCATCGACGACGTTTGGCTCGAGATCGCAGTAGATGGTGCGTGGCACGTACTTGCCCTGACCTGCACACATGTCAGTGGAAGTGAAAGCATGGTAGATCAGGCTTTGAGCATACCAGTCTCGGAGAAGAAAGTGGAGAAGCCATGGTCATCATCGGCGGCCTTGCGCTCCTCGGTGAGGTATCCATCAGGCTGTGACAGTTGTCAGTGTCCTTTCCATATCCTCGAGGATGTTCGAAGGGTGTGCATACCTGAATACCGTGCTCAAGGCAGTAGAGCTGTGTCCAAGTCAGTTTCTGTCTCTTCAGGCACCCGTATTTTCCTCATCCCACGGTGTGTTCCATCTCTTGCATTGTGTGGTGTGCTTGTACTAACCTCCCAGCAGCTGTTGGCGATCTGGCAACCAGCCTGGCCGACTGTTCACGGTCACGGTCAGCATCTGAGCAGTTTGCAACGGCGAGGCCCAATCTGGCGGTCAAGGCGCGCGACCCTGCCAGAATAGGAGTAAACATACCGTTCAAGCTGATGACTTCGCGCATGGTGACGGTGAGGGTGCGATTGTGTTGTGGGATTGGGTTGACTCTGGACGCGGCGTGAGGCGGAGGGAGTCAGCGGAGGGAGAGAAGGGAGGTGGTGGTGGTCGAGCAGGCGCGTGTTTGGAGGGTTTCTGGTGGGGAAGTTCAGTTGTTCCTGATGTTTTGGTGTGCGGACGCTTTGGGTTTGCAGGGATGCCGCCGCCGGCTCGCTTGTGGCCTTAGCGCGACGCGGCGTCGACGAATGAGAGGCCAACTTTGGCCGCGAGCCGGCAGCACCTCACCAGAACGTGACTTGCATCTGCACCCAGGGCAGGAAGTGAGGGAGATATCCGATCATATACTTCCATTTGACACGTGAAAGGGGGAGAGGAGGAAGACGATTGAGGTGAGCTACCTTACTGCCATTGAACCCTCGTGAAGGGCCGCAGAGCCATGCCCCGAAGTGAGGCGTCACGTGTCCAGACCTCCTCGCCCGCTCCACCATCACGGGCATGAGCATGAGCATGAGCATCTTCACCCTCATCCTCCGGCTTGCCGTCTGCCTGTGTGCGCTGCTGGTAAGCGCAGCTCTGGCAAACACCGAGAAGGCCATCTTCCTCGCCCCGGAGGCCATCACCCTGCCAGACGCCTCTCCCAGCCTGCACGCCCTGCAGCTCGACACCATCTCTCCCATCTCCGCCCAACTGCGGACGGCACTGCCCGTGGCATTTCCAAGCGACACCAACCCGAAGGGCCTCGAGTCTTGGTATCTGCTGCGGCAGTTGAACGCACGACAACGATACGAAGTGCGCATCTGCTGGGCTGCAGTTGTATGTCTCCTACGCATCTCCGCGCCAGGCAGCAAGCTTCGCCTCGTCCCTTTCCCCACGGCTAACCTGGTAGTAGCAACCCACGCAATTCTGGATCGACGTCTACAACATCACACATGTTTTCGACACTCCACACCTGATCCAGAGCTTGGCGTCCTATTCGGAGGAGCAGCAGCAGCAGCAGCAGCAGCAGTCGCCACAACCGGTCCAGCCCAAAGCTGCACACACGGCACTCGACCTCTCCGGGACCATCTTATTTCTCCACCTTCATGCCGCCGCCGACTTCTTCACCACCAACAAGACTTTGATGCACCATCCGCCGGCTGTCGACGTCGACATCATCCTAGATCCCTATCTGGCAAATATCCTCCCCGCGTCCCTCCTTCCCACGGCACTTTACATTCTTGTCTTGGCCATTCTGTCCTGGTTCCTCTCAGGGGTAATTTGGAACTTCCTCCAACCTGCCAAGCCCAAGCAGCACACGGACTGAAGGCCAACATGTCTAGCAATCGGTCCACTCAGGCCAACTCATCCAATCAAGGCGCCGCGAATGGTCTTGGTACGAGCGGCAATGACGGCAATTCTGGCGATGCTCAGCAAGCGAGCCCGTCGACCACAGTAGCCACTGCAACCCCGGCCGCGCCGCCGTCAGTTCAGTTACATCCCTTCTACACGCTACCTGTGGAGCTCATATTGGACATCGTCGACTATCTCCCAGCAGAGGCCTTCATCAACTTCGCATTCGCCAACTACCCGATACTGCATCACCATGGTCTGGCGCCGGCGCTTTCGCGACCACGTATCATCTATATCACGACGCAGACACAGATACCGGCACTTTTTCCGCTGCTGAGAATGCCTCCGGAGATCATGCTACACATTATGCGGAACCTTCGGCCCATCGACATCATGAGGTTCGTCGTCGCCAATTATCAAGATCTCGCACGACAAGGGATTGCACCACCTATGACAGAGGAAACAGTGAATCAGCTCAAGAATGCTGTCAGGGCGAGGTTAGGACCTGGCAGTTCGAGTCCAGGCGGGTCAGATCTAGGATCAGGACCAGGTCGACCAGGTCAGGGTCCCGGAACGGCGACTTGAATCGAGAAGAAAAAGAAACACCAACAAAAGGTTGCGTGGAAAAGAGGTTATCCAACTCGACCGTTACAACCCAGTTTGAGCTTCTCACAGGTTTCGGTCCTTCAACCAAAAGGAGACGTTGCGCTTCCTTGTACGAGCCCCTCCTGCACCGCATCCTTCACCTCGTTCCACCTCACAGCCCTGATCTCGTCCTTGGGCCAAAGATCCACAAGAAGCGTTTCTTCCTCGACCCCATCTGCGTCTCCGCTTTCACGAGATTCTGTTTTCCTTTAGCCGCAGCGCCGCCACCAGTCGTCCTATCGAACGCGACTTTCTTGGACAGCGACTAGAAGCTGCCAAAGTCCGTGAAAGCGAAGAATAGCATGTCGTCGCAGAAGGTACTCTTTAGGCCAACAAATGTCCCTCCTGTGAAGTACTGATATTGCTCGCCAGAGACGGTGATCCGGGTGTGCTGTGTCCTCAGCTTGACAGGACCAATCTCCCACCTGAGATTGCCTATTTGTATGGTCGGTATAATAACCAATCGATCCAGTGAAATCCTCTCCTGGCATAGATCTAAGCACAAACACCCTTCTTATCCACCACCACCGCTTCCCTATCATCTCCCTCCCTACCGCCTTCCTCCCTAAAGTCTCCCACTCCTCCCACTCCGGCAACCTCACACAATACCAAATCTCCACCCCCGGCTATTCCATCCCTCTCAACAACTCCCCACAAACTCCCCCAACCCTCCTCCGTAGCCATTATCTCCTCCTTCACCAGCTTCTCCGGCAACAAAAATCGTTTCTTCTACACTTCCCGCTCCAGAACGGTATCCGCAAAAAAAAACATGATATCCCGCAGGAAATTTCCTAGGGAGTTCGCGGTCCTGCACCAAGCGGCGGGAAAAGTGCATGAAGATTTTTAGGCAGTCATGTTTGTGGAGAGAGAATCATTCCGGCTACGAAGCTTTGTTGTGGGGAGTTCGCGGACGGACGAGTTGGTTGTTGCGGACTTTCGTGTAGTAGGCGCAGATGCGGGCTGAGGAGCAGTTGCTCCATTCGAAGCGTGCAGTCAGAAAGGTGAGGTGAGCTTCGGGATACGATCGTACGGTAAGGCAGCTGCTCGATGCGGGTCTTTCAAAAGCGAAAGAGGCAAATTTCAGGGTTATGAAGTCGAATTCGATGTGGTTGTGGTTGTGGATGATGTAGTCGAATGTTGGTCCGTTCTGGAAAGCATCCATCTCGTCCCTTGTGTGGTCGGTGACCTAGCAGAATTGGTCTAGATGTGAGCTGTTTCTATTGCTAAGGGGGCTCTCGGTGCTCGCGCTGCTGGACCGGCTTGTATAGCTTAACTATGTATTAATCTCCATAAGTGTTCATTCTCGGTGTGTGAAGTGTTGTGATGGCTTCTATGCGTGGTAATATGATTAAGTGCATGCAGTGTTTGGTTATGTCTATGTTGAAGAGGAAGAGGTCGTGCGTGCGTGCGTGCGTACAAAGAGGAAAGTATGCCTCCTAGATATTCACTTACCCGCCGCGCTAGTGCGCATTATTAGCGCATATGTGATTTGCATTTATGCTATATTTACTATCAAATGCTAACGTATTAGCTGTCTCAACGACACAATATCTTGTCTAGACAGCACATCAACAACCTATCCTCCCAATCCTCAAATTCCCTCAAAAAAAAAAACACAAGCCCCCATCCCAAAACTCCTCCTCCTCCACAACAAACACTCTACACTACTCTCCTTGAACTCAAGATATCCTCCTCCCTACCGGCCCGAACGAATCCCCATGAGGAGGACCTCTGGCCAGAGATGCGCTCTTTTTGGTTCATTGGTTGGTAAACCGGCTGACTAGAGCTTTCATAGAAGTTGTATTCAGTACCTACGATCCGAGCGTTGGTTGGGTCCACCAGATTACTCACTCCCGACTCCGGCTTGGTTGCGGAGATTCCAGGATTACACGAGTATATGCCTAGTCGAAAGCGTGCAGGATATGCTTTTAAGGGAACTGAGGAGTGGTTGAGATTCAAGCACGGTCGAAATGGGGAGCAGGTGACGCGTGTTCGGTATGGTGGAGAACTGGTGTTCGTTGCTGCGCTTGATGATACCTTGGTGCAGTTAGCCTAACATTGAAACCCGTTTCCCAGTGTTTCCGTCGCCTTATCCGAATTGTAGAAGCTTCGAACAAATTTCATCAGATACGAGCTGAGAATCAAAGATAGTACAAGCGCTCATGCCCAATTTGCGCGTCGAGGCTGCTGTGCTTCCCTGAACGCCCAAGGACCATGCCGTGCTTCATAACCTCATTACACATCTCTTCTGCCTTGTCAACTCCCTACGCCTCCACCGTGAGCCTGCACTTCTGCCTTGTCGAGCTTCGGAACATCCCTACTTAACAATTGACGCAGTTCAGGTGTGATCACCCGCTCCTTCTCCACTCCAGAGCCAGCTCTGGTGCGTTCGCCGGGTCTTTGTTCTCTGCCCGATGCGTGAGCGCTAGAGTTCGATGACTGTCCCCCAGAGCCGGTCCCACTCGAGCTACTGGCTCGGTTTGGTCGTCCATCGCTTCCGGGTTGTGATGCGCTAGGCGATGGCGGCTGAGGTAACCTCTGACGGGCGACAGGTACAGCAGGGAAATTCGACTTTCTGTCGATAGCTTCCACCATTCTCCGGAACTTTCGGAAGAGCGACTCGGCTCGTACCATCGTCGAGTATAGATCAATGGTCCCCGAGAGCTCGTTGACATACTTCAGCACTTCATCAAAGCCCTTGAGGTGCTCCATAATGACTTCGCGGTGCTTCTCGAGTATAGCGGCAGCAATGAAGAGATGGAAGTTGGCCGAGAGATAGTCCGTCCAAAGGCCTTCCCACAATCTGAGAATCGCCTCGAAATCAAACTCGCGCTTGTACCAAACCAGTAGCATTCGGAAGAAGAAAAAGAAGTTTGTACTGTCAAGCTTCTCCAGATGTTCGTAAAGCTTTGGATCCAAAAGCTGCACCAATTGATCCAAAGTCAGAAGCTGTAGCCTCATTCCAGATTGGTCGCGGAGGAAGTTTCGCTCCATGCGCTCCATGAACTTGGTAAAGCCCCAGAAGGCGACAGCATCGTCCTGCTCGACGGCATATATAGGTGCGAGCAAGTCACTCATACCTTGCACGTAGCCGAGATCCCGGTTGTATTCGTTGTAGGTTAGTAGCATGTCCTTCATCTGTTCTAGGTGTACGTTTGTGCCAGCTTCAGCAAATGGGCTGTCGGGATCCGGGTGTGGAATATCCTCTCCTGCGAACAGAGGAAGATGTCGATCCGTACGATGAACGTCCTTCTCTATTTGACCATGAATGGCACGGTCAGTACGAATTATCAGCAGCAGTGATTGGGAGATGCAAATGATTGAACTTACCAATTCGCATCTTTTGCTCCTTCCACCATTCTCTCTCCTCCAAAGTACCCGTCTCGTCGACCATACGCTCCCACCACGCACCCTTGAGTCGGATGTACTCATCGCGGAGGCTGTTCATCTTTGCATGTCGCTCCTCCTTTGTGCTGTCCCACTCATATACCCCCAGCAAAAACAACCAGGCTTCTTTACGGGCACCGTCGTCGTCAGAGAGTCCGCCATGAAAGACGCGTTCCTTGACCTCATCAGGTGTCTTCTCAAGCTTCCCAGTGTGCTCATTGAAAAAGCCTTCCCATTCTTTCAAAGTCACAGGCTTTCGCTTCTCCGCCAGGTTTACGCCTTGCATGTCGGCATCGAGAAGCTCGAACTGGCCGAGCTCGCTATCTTCGATCTCTAAAATGTCCTTTGCAGTCCAGATCCGTTGATTCCGCTCCCTCTCCGACTGCTCAGCAATCCCCATTGCCCATCGGGCCAGGTACAGTCTTGCGGAATCAAACTCATCCGAGACGGTCTGGACTTGTGGATTCTGCATCAATCTTCTAACCTGCGGTGGCAGGTTCTTGTTCTCCGCCACAGCTTGCGCAGTCCGTCTCGTGAACGTCGTGACCTGCGCCATTTTCTCCATGAAGTTGAACCTCGCCTGCTTGAGCACATCCAGAACCTGCTGCTGCTGGTTGCTCCCGCTCTGTCTGTTCTTCGACGAAGACGGCTGATCTTTGGGCTTGCCCTCCAGTACATTTCGTACTTTCTCTGGTGTTGGCTTGCCTCCACTGCCAAAGCCAATCCGATCAGCATCACTAGGGTTGATCAAATAGACACTTGAATCTTGAGCGGATCTCTCAACAGTGACATATCTCTTCAACCATTCAATGACCTGATCTCCTCCCCAGAACATGCCACCCTCCTTGCCTTCTATGCTGAAGTTCTCTCGCTGCAATCTCTTTCGCTGAGCAATCGTAGACTGACATTCAGAATCGTGGAAGAACAGCGGCGGAAAGCTGTCTCCAGCTCGCGAGTTGACGATGATGCTACCGAACCACCATCCTGTGCTAGGTGGCCGTACGAGGATGCTGAAAATATCGCTCACTGGAATGGCAAAGGCATATGTTCCCAAGCTTGAGCTATGTGTCGTAACAACAGGCGGCCGCGGAACTAGGTACGATTGCTTTGGCGGGCCGTCCGCATCCGTCGTCGCCGTCTCGACTTTGGTATACTTCTCGCCTGCTTCTCCAAGGCCACTCTCGGGCAGCCATGCCAGCAGCAAATCCGACCTCGACCTCAGCTTATTTCCACCACCGCTGCTTCCAGGGCTAGTAGGAGGCTCGGACTCCTCCGGCCTCTGCTGTTGCAATCCGATGAAGCCGGCTACATTGTCCTTCGCACTCGGTGACGGGTGCACATACACCTTGCTCTTCGCGTACAACAGCTTGACGCCTTTCTTAGCATGACTGTGTCGGACGGTGCTGTACTCGGTCTCGTCTTCGTCGCTCATGTCGTAGAAGCTCGCCGAGGGAGATGGAGGACTCGGTGGGTCAGCAGACGACGCGACTGCTGGCGGAGTCGAAGGCATGCCGGTTGTTTTGTTTGCTAGATTCTGGCGAGCGTGAATGGGAATGGGCGGCATAGACGATCTCAGGCCGTCAGATCACATGTCTCTCCTGGGTCAGGCGCAGTATGCAAAAGTAGGCGTTTGGTCAGGAGGTCCTTTGCGGTGGCAGAGTCGCAGTGAAGGTATGTAGTAGAGTACTCTAGTATGGTATTCTATCTACCTTAGTACAGAGGTAACACAGAGAGTGAGGCGGGGTGATGGGTGTGGCGCAGACTCGCCCGGCATGACGAAAGCTGGAAAGTGCCCGCCGAGGTGGGGGCCAAACCTGAGGCGCCAGAATAATTGAACTATCTCAAGGAATTCATTCAAGGCCCATACTAAACATACATCAAATTCGAGCATACGCGTGGATCGACACTACAGCAACAGCACACTCAATGTTTGAAAACTTTCCCATTCACTCGCGCAGCATTACCTCCAACTCATGCCTCAACTGCTCGACCAATTCCGCCCAGAGTTGCCTGCCGACCTCTACGTGTACCAGGTCGGCTCCGGAATTTCCCCCAAGAGTTGATACCTGCCGACCTCACGCTTCTTGTAAGCCACAGGGTCATGCAAGGAATGGGTGCGGATATCTCTCCAGTATCGGTCGAATCCATACTTCTTGCCCGTAGCACGGGCGCCGAGCATCTCAAAGATACCGCTGGTCACGGAGAGGCCCGTATCGGTGGTGACAACCTTGGCGTGCGCGACCAAGGCCGCAACCTCACCACGACGCTCGGCAGTGATGCCAGCGCGTCCTTTGCGAGCGTGGCCATTTGTTGCGCCGTCCGTCTTCGTTTCAGCATCCACATTCTGGAAGCTTGCCGAGGTAGTGATAGTGTACGGCGGGTCTGTCTTGAGAAGAGCACCATTGTCGTCCACGCGAGAATGGAGGTAGTTCGGATTCACGAGATGGCTCCAATTCTGCTCGTCAACAGATGAGCCATACTGTCCACCCTCGCGATAAGCACTGGCAATCTCCGCCCCGGCGCGATCGGCGAGAGCATCCGCAGCCGCAAGGTGAGCACGATATTCGCCATAGCGTTCGAGAATGTACCATTCGTCTGCAGCCTTGTCCTTATTATCGCCTCCAAAAGGCCAAGCCCGTGTCGAATTGATTGTATAGAGGGAAGCAGCTCCCAAGGCACCTTGTGCGATGCCAAGGTAGAAATTAGCAAAGACCAGCTGGATGGTAGGAAGCAGCAAGGAGGCGAACGGAACGCCCAGAACGTGTTGGACTGGGCGCTTATTCTGGGGATCCCAACCAAGAGCATCAGACCATGGCACTCGGACGTTCTCAATCTTAACACTGCCAGACTCTGTCAACCGTAGACCGACGTTATCCCAATTGTGCAGAAATTGGATGCCAGGCTGGTCCGTTTTGACGAACGTGAAGATATGGTCTTCGGTGCCGTCGAGCACTCCCTCGAGTACGGTAAGATCCGACACAACGCCACCTGCGAGACGTCAGTCGTGCTGAGCCTAAGAAGATTAATCTCTCGGGCCATACCAGTGTTGAAGTTCTTGAACCCATTGAACACGATCTCATTGCCCTCGCTCGTAATTTTCAAGTCGCTGTCCCGGGGGTTTACAGCTCCGCCAACGAACCAGTTATTCTCGATGATGACTTGCTGGACGCTGTCCTGCTGTTCCTCTGTACCAACGACATTCGCCGTGGTTGACCATAACAAGTGATATCCAAGCAACATGCCCAGAGACCCGTCGCCTTTGGCAACCTCCCTAATGACTTTGTATCCAGTCTCCCAGCTTTGTCCTCCTCCGCCATACTTGCTTGGCCCGAGGATCTTCAGCAGACCTGCTGCCTTCAACAATGCAACCTCGGCCCTTGGCGACTTGTTTTCAATGTCTCTCTGAGCAGCATCTTGCCCCAGAATGTCCGAAACCTCCTTGGCACGACGAAGCCATCCCTGCTGCGTGGTAGGCTGACCAGCATTGTTGAAGTTTTGAATGTGATCGTTGTAGATGCTAGGCTCGGTATACTCGCGTACTTTTGCCATGGTGATCAATGTTGGAAGCGAGAGGTGTGACCAGGTCTTCGGCGAGGCGCCATCTTCTGCACTTATATATTCGCAGATCCCCAGTCCACATTCCACGATATAGCATGCTCCGGTCCCTCAAAATCCTCGTGTAGCGCTGTTGCATGGGCTGGAGACAGAGTGATCTTCATGGCTATTCGAGCTTGTGTATGACGTGCTCAGCGCTGCTCGAGCTCGCCATCGCCCCCCCTCGAGCACGATGTAACTTTATCCAGACCTAAGACTACATCTACAGAGTCCACTGGTTCGCAATTCCAAGTGCCGAGTCGGAGGTTCTGTGGTTCGTCTATGAGGAAAGTAGACCGCGTATGAAGCTCATGAAGCGTTGCTTGGCTGAAAACATTGATTTGGGTATAGCGCAAAATCTAATTAGTATTATGCCACTTTGCTCAACCTGCGGAGATCAATGAGGCAGAACAGCCGGGAATTCGATGAAGATTATAAGTCTCTCAGGACTGCTCGACCTCCGTGTCATTTGTAGTGGATGATACGCAAGCCAAAAGTCTGGACTATTACTGCTCTGCAATCCGGAGCCAGGGATATTAGTGATCCTGCAAGCGTATCGCTCGTACCTCTGGATTGATCAAAAGCCCATTATCTGAGGAAGATGAGACGGACGGATCCCTTGTTCATGAGCCATCTCATCATCGCCCGTATCTTCGTCCTTCACCGCTGTCGTACGGATTGCTGCCGTTGCTGTATGGAGCATTGTTTGCCGTTCTTGGACGATCGTACGGATTCGACGCATTACCCGGAGGAGCAGGCGCACCACCAGGAGCAGGACTTGATCTCCCACCACCCCATAGTCGAGCCTTGAGTTTCTCTTGAGCTGATACAGCCGCCGGACCTCCTGCACTCGGCGGCGGGCTGGGCTGAGGTGCCATGCCGCTGTTCGGTCGGCTCGACGACTGCTGTGATGCTATACTCTGATAGCTTCCTGCTCGCTGCGAGGGCAGTGGACGAGCCTGCGGCGGTGCAAGGTTCGAGCTGCTTTGGGCCGCAGGTGGATTCATAGGCCGTCTTGCATTTCTCAAGCTCTGAGGTTGCATCGGGCCGTTGTTTTGTGGTGTAGAGGGCGGGTCCCACAGGTCGCTCAAGCTGCCTCTTTGCCCGCCTTGGTTTTGCACGCCGGAGTACTGGCTCTTTCCCCCGGCACTGGTGAAGTAGCCTGATTGCTGCGCATATGGCTGCGGAGTGATGGCCCGCTTGTCATTAGGATCTGGCGGTAGCCATCCTGGGAACGGACGGCCTTTCTCGGTGTAGTACGCACGCAGGACACGGCAGAGATGTGTATCGTCTTCGGTGTCGCCGTCGTCTTCGCTTGAAAGGAGCGTTCTCCGTAAAGAGTTGTATCTTGATGTTGTGTGGGTGAGCAGGTTACTGAGGTATGAGGACATGGCTGTAGCGTTGGCGCATGCGGTGACTGGAGATGGCTAAGATCAAGCAACCGCAGGCTTGAGAAGCGACAAGGAAAGGCAGCACATGCAACTTTGAATGCGGGACGCTCTCGGCACTCGAAGAGATGGCCCGAAGCGAGCCGAGCACTAGACCGTTTCAAGTGACGAGCTTGGAATTCCAGCTCTCACACTCGCAAGACTCGTTTTCCAGCGTCAGCTTCCCTTGATCTCATCATCAGTGTGAATTGCGCTGAAATGCGTGTGCTAATTCGCCCTCTTCACACCCCTCGTGAAAGTGTGGAATCCCGCAATCATATCGCCTTGGCTCGGCGCTACCTTGAAAGGTGCGTGTCGCCGCAAAGACCTTGGATCGATGCTCTTCGCCTGCATTTGCCAATGTGATAACATCTCCCTGCGTCTGCGAAGCTGGTTTCGGAAGGGAGACCAACTGCATGCAAACCCTCGTCCTCATTCATTTCGCGCGTTGCCGAGTTACGATTGCGAGCGCCCGGGCTAAGTTGGTGGAAGACGCCAGCGACTCGGATTGTGCGGTGTTCAGTAGTGGACGCTTGCAGCAACGCTCTTAGGAGACAGCAAACGAAAGCGCGTGGCCTATTCATATCAAAGTGAGACCTTCTCGCTGCTTGCCTTGCCTCAGAGCTACGTCACACTTGTGCGATGCCTTATGGTGTCTGCATCCATCTGACTTCATTTTCTCGCCGCACCGAGCTATGTCCATCCAAGTGTGCCTTTGTCGGACCGTATCGTTGTTTCGTAATAAGGTGATCGAATGCACCTGGCTGAGACCTGTGGTCCGGAAGCAGGCGGACTGTCACAAGAGCAGCATCTTGCTGACGTTCGAAGAAGCGACCGCGCAACTTTGGATTCGCTTTCTCTTCGCAGGTCTGCTGGTGTCGCAGGAGCTTGGTAGTCAGTCGGGGATTAGCAAGCAAGCAAGCAGTGCGAAGAAAGCAATCTATGCCGGAAATGCATCCGACTTAGTTATGGCGGCAACGGCTCTAAGGCGCCCTCGACTGTTCCGCAATTGTCCAAACCAGCTTGACGTGTTGGTGTCGGTGTCGGCCAGCTTTGGAAGGGGATTCCGACAATGATCCGGAGCCTACTGCATGGGCCCCATAGCTAAGAGCAGGTAGAATGCCAGCAGCAGTCGTACAGAGGGAGGGTATGGTAGGTGTCGGGACTGACTTGCCATGAAGGGCAGCATTTACAGGTGTAACACAACATGATGCCTCCACGGACGCTTGAGCACGTAGAAGATGACACAAGCTCAACTTCCGCCTATCCGGGCAGGAAGGGCGGCGGAGTAGGAGAGGCAGACTTTCAACTCACTCCTTGCGAGCGGTTGCTTCTGCAGGTCTGGGCATCCAGCATCCGCAAATGGTAGTAGTGCACCGGTCGGAGGTTGGTTGCCAGAGGCCAGCCGGTCTGGCGTTCCGCAATACATCCGGCTCGCTCACACAGGCACATTGCCAAGTGGACCCCGCTCTGCTGCCGGGCGTCTAGCAGAGTGTCGCGTGTGAGCGCTGCCCAGTCGCCGCGAGGGCAAGAGGGGTATGTATCGAGCAGACAGGCTGAGACAGCGTCACGGAGCAGGCTCGTGCTCAGGCTTCAGCAGGCGCAGAGGGCACGACCGCGTGCGATGCTGAGCTTTTCCCTTGTCCGCAGCTCCCCCGAGCCTTGCGATGTGATGTGTCCAAGTGCGGGCACAGCACAGGCACACGGGCACAGGCATGTAGAACGCAGCATATAAAACGCAGCTCGTCGACGCGCTGCGGTGGTGTTGTCTGCTGCAGCTGTCCTTCCACCATCGCATCGTATCGCATCGCACCGCATCGCACCGCATCGCACCCTTCAGATATATTGTTGAAGGAGGAAGTCGCACCCAGCAACCAACGGCAAGTCTCCCCGCATGCGATCCGCGCCATGACGAACCTTCCTGCCTGCTCAGATCGGGTTGACGGAACCCGTCGCGCTAATACGCATTCATGCCATCAGAGCTCCCGCGTTGCAACTCCACTACCAGAGCTACCCGAGCTACATAACGCCCTCCTCCTGCCGGCTCACAACACGATTCTTTTTGCCCTCCTCCAAAAAGTTCCCCTCTCCACTCTTCACAATGGTATTTGCCCGCTCCGCCCTCCGTGCTGCTCGTCCAGCCAGCTCTCTGCTTTCGCAGAGGGCCACCACCTCCTTCTCCCACCGCGGAGCCTCCCTCGCAAAGACCGCGAGCCTGGGCGGTGTCAGAACGCTGACCGCGACTGCCTCTCGACAGGGAAAGGTCCTCCTCGTTCTGTACGACGTAAGTCATGTCCCCTACAGCTCCAGCATGATTCTCCGAGCTCTCAATGCGAGAATAGGTCTAATCATTGATGCCAGGGCAACGAGCACGCCAGGCAAGAGCCCAAGTTGCTTGGAACCACGGAGAATGAGCTTGGACTCCGAAAGTGGATCGAGGACCAGGGCCACACTCTAGTCACCACCTCCGACAAGGAGGGCGCGAACAGCAAGTTCGACCAGGAGCTCGTCGACGCTGAAGTCATCATCACCACTCCGTAAGAAGATCCTCACGCAATTGTATATACAATTGGAACGTTCGCCTGACCAACCTCAGATTCCACCCGGGTTACCTGACCGCCGAGCGTCTCGCAAAGGCCAAGAACCTCAAGATCGCCGTAACTGCTGGTATTGGCTCCGACCACGTCGACCTGAACGCCGCCAACAAGACCAATGGCGGTATCACCGTTGCTGAGGTCACCGGTTCCAATGTCGTCTCCGTCGCCGAGCACGTCGTCATGACCATCTTGGTCCTCGTCCGCAACTTCGTCCCTGCCCACGAGCAAATCGCCAGCGGTGACTGGAATGTCGCAGCCGTCGCCAAGAACGAGTATGACCTCGAGAACAAGGTCGTCGGTACCGTTGCTGTCGGCCGTATCGGTGAGCGTGTCCTCCGCCGCCTGAAGCCATTCGACTGCAAGGAGCTTCTGTACTTTGACTACCAGCCGCTCTCCAAGGAGAAGGAGCAGGAGATTGGCTGCCGACGTGTCGAGAACCTCGAGGAGATGCTTGCCCAGTGTGATATTGTCACCATCAACGCCCCACTGCACGAGAAGACCCGCGGCCTGTTCAACAAGGAGCTCATCTCCAAGATGAAGAAGGGTAAGTCATCGAGCTCGATTGAGGACGTGGAATCTCCAGGCTAACTTTGTCCAGGCTCTTGGCTCGTCAACACCGCCCGTGGTGCCATCGTCGTCAAGGAGGATGTCGCCGATGCCCTCAAGTCTGGCCAGCTCCGTGGCTACGGTGGAGATGTCTGGTTCCCACAGCCAGCACCAAAGGACCACCCACTCCGCTACGCCGAATACGGTCCATTCAAGTCCGGCGGAAACGCAATGGTTCCACACATGTCCGGTACCTCGCTCGACGCCCAAGAGCGCTACGCGACTGGTGTCAAGAACATCCTGCAATCATACTTCAGCGGCAAGCACGACTACAGGCCTGAGGACCTGATCGTGTACAAGGGAGACTACGCCACCAAGGCCTATGGCCAGCGTGAGAAGAAATAGACGATGAGCTTGTATAGTTAGCGACTTCCTGTAATGCCGAAATGTGTAACAACGTTCCAGAAGAAGACGTGAGAGACGCTTCAATACTTGCCTGTAGAACCTGTCGGGAGCTATTGAAAGTGGTTGGCGGAGTGAAAAGCTCGGCGTTGGCCGGACGGCCATTGACTCCAGCTTTTGCTCTCCCGGGCAAGCCGGGTTGGCTTGGCTCGGCTCGGCTCGGCTCCCAACACCACGTGACTTTTCGACTCTCCCGA